CTTATTGTCCAATCACGACGGCATGACTTATAGCTAATTTTCTTTTTATTCGGCCTATACTATGCTTCTTTTAAAGTCTTCAGAGGCAGGGTACAATTGGGTATTAGTTATTTTTTTTCCATTTGGTGGACGCCAGACGTCTGGAGGGCGTAGCCCCCCGTGAATGTTCGGCCGGACGAGACGGTCGAGGATCAATATTTCCCGAGTAAACGCCCTCGTGTCGACGGTTGCCACCGCTGCCGGTTCGCATCAGGCACACATACCCATCGAAGCCCACTAGGTTGTACCCCCATCACGTAGTTTCACCTTTCCAAATTACCTTTACTTGCAAATCTGGAGGAGGGTCGTATCTCCTGGTTTTCCCCTCCAAACGTGCTGTGTTAGTTTAATTAGACTAAAAAAAAATAATGATATACTTCCCTCTACTACTAGGACCGGTCCTCGCTTTTCCTTAGTTTCCCGTCATAATTTACATACGGTCAATTATTAAAATTGCATTACCTCCCCCCCCCACCCTGTACACCGTCGTTCAATGTGACAATAGACCCGATTGAATAGAGTAACGCCCGTGGGTATCGACTGCGATATTTATGCTGTGTTCAAGTAACTTCGGGTAACTGTGAGTTTTTCAACCCATAATAGCCGCAGGCACTCCTATGCAAAAATCGATCACACAATAAGACTAAAAAGGTGTCGAGTAATTGTGTATGTTAGTCTTAATAAAGCTAATGTAAATAAAGGAGATGCTTGCACCGTTACAACAACCATTGTTGTAACCGCCGCATCATTAACTTAAAGGTTCAAGTATTTTTGTTATCTTGAAGGACCACCTACATTAACTAAAAACAATTATACGTTAAACTCTACTACTGTTCTACTTTTACTTTTCATTTACATATAGACCAAAAAAAAAAAAATGACTTATGCATCATTTATAATTTATAGCTTAGATCCTAGAACTTAAGTCTCCCTCGTCGAGGTAAATCGGAGATTATGGTCGGATATTACGTCTTAATTTAATTTGCAAAGTTTATGTTTCGGTAACTGATGGAGGTACAAAAACTATTATTAATAAGAGACGTTTCTTTTTTATGTTGTTTATTATATTTTTGGTTTGAATATCAGTTCGCACGACGCTTGTTTTCGCAAAAGCCATAATAAAGTCTATATTAGGTATCGTTTGTTAGTTCGCTATAAAAGTAATATGCGGTTGTGTTGTTAATAATTTTTCATTTCAACTATCGATGGTCGTCGGACAGTTTTCAGGACGATGGTTGATAGAAAACATCATTATTTGTTAGAAAACCAATATGGTTGTTTTCCAGACAATACACAACAAACTATATTAAATATATATGTTTACCTTTATAATATTGTATCGACTATGGTTATCAAGTTATAGCGTGAATTCGACCGTCTGTGGACATTTTAGTATTTATTCGCCATGACTCAGCCCCTGCTGGCGGCGTAATGGGTGGTGCACGAGTCTCTTTGAAAACACCCATTCTTCAATGACATTTGCGTGCGAAATTAAAAACTCACTAACCCTATATTGCATAGTGGTGCCATTGCACTCCTTGCCGGCCAACACAATGAATTAAGTGGTTGCCCGTTATATTGTTTGCTTAGGCCATCACCTCTCTCTCTTTCTTTTTTCGGTCTGACGCTTATTGCCCAGGGAAAAGCCTGCATAATGTCGAGATTGCGCCTTTGAGGGTAGGAAACAAAATCGTCCGACACATGCGTGGATATTTCTCACTCGTCCAAGTGCAAATAAGAAAGATTTTAATACTAAAAAAGATCTTAATTGTCGTATTTGTTTAAGTATGGGACGTCGATGGATGATTTACAGTCCGGATCAGAAGGACTATAAAATATATAGAGGACTTTAGGGGACCAAAATAGATAGCAATGACTTAAAAAACAAATTATATACTACAAAAGTGATATTTTAGAGCTAATATTAATTAATCTAAAAATTAGTTGAAATTAACGAAATTTAGTGAAACGGGATTTTTTTCAAATATTGTCTACATTTTTGCGAATCGCTGAAATATTTGATTAAATTCTCAATACAAAACTTAAGTTATTTATGCATTATTTATTTTTAGTTTCACTTTTATAACCTTACAACTATTGTTTTCTTTAACAGGAGTTGTGTCTTGGGGAAGGGGATATATGTGCGGTGGTTTTCCACGCCCTTCCGCACCAGTCGGGTTAGATTAAGTATTTTTAGTAAAATACGTTAAACTATTGGTCACTAACTAATCAATTTTAAGCTATAATTACTCGAATAATCTCTTATTCGAAGACGGAAAACGGTTGGATTATTTATACTGTTCTACGTGTATTGTATTTGATAATATTTTGTTGTATTAAAAAATAAAAATTAGTTATGTATTTGTGACTTGCAACTGTTCCCAGTAAACGTGTACTGGTCGACATTGTTGTTTCTCTCTTTGTGCAGTAATGAATTCCCCGAATGTCCGATACTATCATCATGCATCAGACACAGTGCATACGGCACACGCGCCGTTAACGCTGGACGTGTTCGGTAACAGTCGCAGAGGCTTTGCTTAAGTAAACAAATCTACGTACATATTTGGATATGTAGTAGGTACAATAATTGTTAATATCGTGTACTTTTTTCCTTTTCTTTTAAATAACCAAACGCTGCGACGTGTAATCAACAGTTCCAACAGAGCGCGTTACTTTTTATGTTACTTCTTGTTTTGCCGTGTCCGCCGTCCGTTCACTGTTCTAAAACTTGAATATTTCATTGGCGCCGGCGATACGATTTACTACTACAAGGGTCTAGGGGAAAATTTCCCAGGAGGAACCCGGCGTGTGCAAGTGTATTAAACTGTTAACCGAAACCCATAAAATGTCCTCACCCTCGAAATAGAAGGCCGACCGGAAGGGTCTGCGCGACTTATCGGATACGAGATATCGATGATCAACAAAGCCAAAGACAATATTATATTATACAGGCTGTTGTAATCAAACACGTGTGTCGAGGATGTTTACCCAAAACCACACCTGCGACGTTCTCATTTTCATTTCGTGTTTGTGTCTATGTGTATTGTGTACATACTGCTCTGTAAGGATGTTCCGGTGTGTGCTCAAAGGGTTGATGAGATGATGCCAAAAATAGGTTCAAGTTTTACGGCTGTTACGACCCCTAAATGTATAACATTAATTTTCCAATCGATAGTTATAGATATGTTAAGTGTATGAAGCCAAAACACGTAAGCGACATACCAGCGAGAGAAACTTATACGGTGATGATGTATTCGTCATACAGTGCATTTATCGACTAATTGGCCAACATAAAAGATGCATGACTTGTGTATGGGAGTGTCTAATAATTTTATGATACAGTGGTACCGGTTGCTCGCCGATTGATAGTACAAATGTTAACTGTTTTCTCTTAAATTGTATAGTAGTGAACATTTAATTTTTTTTTTATTGTATCAAAGATTATAACGCAGTGCGTTTGCAGTTTTATGCTATTATTATCGCTGATAATAATATATCAAAGAGATCATTTTATTTATTTTATAATTCTTGGACATGTGTTCTTATACTCGACGCATCGTACGAAAATTAGCACTGTTCAAGTTCTTATGAGAACTAGCACCGTTGGCACCAATAGCACGAACGGTGCTAGTCTTCGTAAGAACTTGAACGGTGCTACTTTTCGTAAGAATCTGTGAACGGTACAAGTCTTCGTAAGAAGTCACGAACGGTTCTACCTACTTTTTGTACGTCACGTCGTATTATATTGTATAGGCGACTTTTTTTTAATTGAACGATTTTTATCAAAATTAACATTTATTCTGTGAATAAATAATATACAATACAACAAAATTCCATAGGAGATACAGGAAAAGTTGGACACCATTTTTTTTTCAATTTGGCATAAATGGTCTGTCGCTCACGGTATAGTTTATATTGATAAAATCAATGCAACATCCGGTCGGTTCTGTGAAATTATAGAATATTCATTTTTTAACAATGGGTATGGGAAAACGACTTTTTTTCATTTAATAACGTTATGTCAGTCCCTACAAAGATCTTTTGACCTGAAGTTAGCGTAGGCGATAAGCATTATGCTCTGCTCGTGTTCAGACGGTCCTTGGATGATTTGTAGGTAGTACATACGATTATAACCATTATAATGCGGGCATTTTTACACGTTTGACCTCGCTCGAATGGGGCGGTTGTCATTCAAAATGATTATAGTGAACAATAAATTGTACTAATGAGCTTTGGTAGAAAAAACAACGAACCTGTTGTAAAAAGGAATTTCAGTAAATTAACGCGATTTCAACGGCGCGAATGCTCATTTGAAAGTATTCAACGTATTAGTATAGCTAATTAAACTTGGCTAACTAATGTTTTTTATTTTAATTAGACATAACGTGTACCGTAATTAAAATAAATGGTTCTCAGGATAGAGGGAGAAATAAAATCTGTTGTGAACTGTTTGTTTATCTTGAAGTGTATCTTTACAGTATTATGACATGTTTGTATAACTATAATAACTAATAAGCAAATATTACATTTCGTGTTAAAAAATGGAGTCATATTTTTACTGCGGAGCTTTTTACAAATGCGTTTACAATTTATAAACTACAAACGTCTTAGCTAGTTTCGCACAATTACGGATTTGCTTTTGTCGGTGCTTTTAACTAATTCATCCACTTGATAATTATTATTTGTATACACTATCGTAGCCCGCGGTATTTACAAAACAAATAATCCTAATGGTTCTAAATAAATAAATAACTGTAAGAGTTTTGATGACGTCATAAATGATTAGGTGTTCTTTACTAATTATAATCTCAAATGCAAATGTTATCTGTACATCGACGTCAGCTTACAATGCTGTATTTAAGTTGCACTTGTTTTGGCAACAACAGATAATATAATAAGTGTGCTATGATGTAAACATGTCACACAGACCATTTAACTTATGATTCATTTGTTTTGTACAGGCGATCCGTCCGAAGTTTGCAGTAAGCTAGCGTTCAAGGCCAAGGCTCAAGGATCCAAAGACAACATATCAGTGATCACTGTATTTCTACAGGATCCTAAACAGTTAGCGGCCCGGAGAAAGGCCCACATCATGGAAACGGCGATGGAACAGAGAAATTCTTTAAGTTCGTCCTACGGACAGGACACCTCTGGCTTTGGCCCGGAAACCGATGTGGACACTCCCGACGAACCAATCATCGGCTTAAGCAAACCCAAAGGTATGTTTAATCTCAAATTGTCTATAGGGTGTGAAAAACATTACATAGTCCGACAAATACAAAACCCGTTACACCTTGACATTATAATGTATATAGATAACAGTAAAGATTAATATTAATATTTCAAAACAATTTTTTTAATATACATTTTGTTTGTACAACAAATAATATTAAAATTTTAAGATGGGTTCTATTTTTCTTATCACATCTACTCATATAACCAAATCCAATTGTATTTTGGTAATATTTTGGGGGATTTATGCTAAATTATACAACAAATAGCTAAATTTAATATTTTCTCACTACAAATTTAAGGAACCAATCGCGGGCCACACTAAATTATAATAAAAAACTACTAATCATTTAATTTAAATACGTTTAACACTTAATGAACGTTCATTCAATCTATGCCATACGTTTCTCAGATACCTAATTTGTATTTACGTTTATATGAGGTGTAAAGTGTACTCAATATTAAAATATAAAAAATCGTGGCTTATATAAATATACTAGTTGATCGAACAACGGTAATTTGAGTAAACATATAAACATTTTACACAATTCCATATTGACACGTTCGATCCCATTATTTAAAAAGCGATCTTTTTTTGTTTGTACAAATGTTATTCCAAGGACTTAGTTAAAAACTTTATTGTACTCGGCCACTTAGGTGACTTTGTTTTTTTTGTGCTAAAGTGAGGTGGAAAATTTGATAGTCTGTATGTATTTATGTTGCCTATATGGTATTGAACCATATTCAGTCGAACGTGTTTTTCATGTTATTAATATTTATTTGTTTACAAAACATAAGGTCTATCTTACATTGTAAGTCTAGAATTATCAAGGAAAAACATGCTATTGTGTTTTTGACCTTAACGGTTAATAAAAATCAACGTTGTGCACCGAATTTGTCCTTTTGCTAATAGTGGGCAAAATATTAACTGATAACTTGTACTTATTTTTATAAATTTAAACTTTGTATTTTATATAATTATTCAAATTAAAATTCCAATACTATTTACACAGCTAAATGTATGAGTCGAAGAGCACAATTACGTATTTATCATTCTGATTTGTATTAAACTATCATAACGTTAACGTTTCGTCTGTTAACACTTTAGGAACTTGATTAAATCGTGTACACGCGAAATAGCTGTTTTATTTCTTTATGACTGACATTGCCGTGCCGTCGTGCCTCATGAAATGGTTGTGTCTTGTTAGGGTTACTATAAAATATAAAATGAAACAATATCATCTTAAATAAAAATATTATTCTTTGAGGTGTTAGTTAATGTTAGTTAAATAAGCTTTAAAATTAATATTCTACTACTAGTTAAATGTTTAGGACCGTCAGTATTCCTCTTTGTCTGTATGCGTTTGTATTTATAGCTGGTATAAGCAATGATTTAGAAATGTAAGAAACCGCCTTCTTCTCATGCCTGGGAAACCTATTATTTACATTTTTTCTTCACTTTTATTGGTACCGTTGCCTTTTAAACTGATTATTTTATTAAATAAATGGAATCGTTATAGTTTGGTTTAGCTAATGTTTAAATTTAAAGGAAAATACACTATAAACAGTATAATCAAATACGGTTCACACGCGAACGTGGTGCAATGTTATTGGTAAATTAGATCGTTAAACCGTTATGTTGGGAAAAATGCGCTGTAAAAAATAGTAACACTGTGTTTTTCACTTCTTTGCACCGTACTATTATCCGTCGCTCGTATAATATGGTTACAGTTCCGAGCTCCTTGGGTTGATTTTTTTCACTGTTGCCCGCAGCTGTAGATATATTTTCAGCTGGAGGTCGGTAGATTTCTCGTTGACCACCACCAGGTGCTACATACATACGTCCCAATTTATGATATAATATACCCCCATATAATTTTTTGTTTTTTCAGAACAGTTTTTTTCATAAACATGTTTTGTTTGTTTGCACTGGCGCGAAAGATTTTGGGTACAGAATTAAAAAGTTATTATTTATTAATAATGGCATCTCTATATTACCCTAGTTTATATCAACTTTTTTATAATTTACTTATTAAATTAGAGCAAATAAAACTATTTGAAATATTATATTCTAACTTAAAGATAAATATTATTGCATAACTTTTTAGTTTTTTCCATTATTAACTCTTTCAGTCCCGACTTTTTTATTTGGGGAAAAAATATGATAGCGTCTTTATCAAATTATTTTTGTATAAAGAGAGATTTATTAAAAACATTGATAACATATAATCAATATTATATTTTATTCTGGTTCTAACAATTTTACGAATTCAAAGATACTGCTAGATCGGGTTTAAGGTTAATAAACGGAATGAAAATTAATTAAAATGTATGTACATTACAATGTACAAGGGGACTGAAAGGGTTAATGTATATTAGTCAAAAGAATGAGCTTTTCGTGATTAAATATTTTTGGGACAACCTTTTCAGTGGATAATATTATAATAACATTCAATGAATTTAATTAGAAAAAATGTAATTTCCCGTTTTAATGCTCTATTATAATATTTGTATTACTTAATTAAACAACAATGTTAATGTGATCAATTACTGCATTTATGCTCTTATTTCATTACCACTATTTAAATACCCTACAGTACATGACTCTTCAATACTTTTTTTCTTAAAACATAAGTTACTATATTTTTGATGAAACAATTTTTTTTTTTACTTTATGTGACGGTTTGAGTTTTTGAGCCCCATTGCGTTTTCTTCATCCTACAAGACACTCGCCTGTCATGTGTTGCGTTTTTTCTTATTAACTACTTTAGAATTGTGTGTTCCCCTTAACGCGGCCGCCGGGAACCCTAATATTTCAAAAGTTGGATATCACAGCAGTCGTTTTATTTGCAAAAACTGTCGAGTAAAATATGACTAACGACCGCCGAACTCAGGGAGGACCCCTGTTAGGCATACATTTTTGCTATATTTTTCCATCCCCCTACTTTCATTTACAAAAAAAAATCCTGTTATGTGGTACACTACAATCGCAGCACGCCTAACCAACGCATCGGTTTTTCATTTCCATCCGACCATTGTACGTGCATCTCTATGTAGGGCTAGTGTCAATTCGATTGTATGTTGTATTCACATATGCGTTTAGAGTGTATAAGTATATTATTATTATTATGTACTATGGTTGTATAATATGATATTATAATGCTTTCGGAGTGCGCGTCGACCACGACCGTCGCCATTGACCGGCAATGGTGGTTATAATACGCGACTCGTGAATGCCCGAGCACATCAATCAATTTTATTATAATCCTCCGTCGAATCAATTTTGACGGCCAGAAGTCGTTTAACGATGTCGATGACTGCTGTGGTTCGACGAAATACTTTTAGCTCCGGATGAGAAGTCACGCGAGATGAGTTTTCCACCACTTTGATAGTGCAATCAAAACGAATCCATACTGCTCATTTTTAAAGTTAAAGACGTGTCTTGAAGTATTTTATTGCCTATTGTCTTGCCCCTAATGGCACTAAAAGGTGTCTCGGATACTTCTGACATAGGTCAACCTTTAATTTGTAGACGGTGTTTTAGATGATATTGTTGTAAACCTGGTCATGGTTACTGTTTTAGTGATTTTTTTTTTTAAGAATTATTGTATCATAGGGTTAGCTTAACTTAAAAGAATTACGTTGCAAAATCATTTGTACATTCTCAGTACCGTACCAAAGCTACTAATACCGCACCGTACTACTTGTCTATCCACCCTAACATTAACTAATTTGGTAAACCAGTGGTTTTTAACCTAACGTGAAAATTACTAGGTGGCGTTTAAAAATGCAATTTAATGCTATAGTGGCTGATGGACATTTTTATAGGACAGCCCTAGGTGATGAATAACAATAGCTTTTAGGGAGGGTAGAGCTTTTACGATTGATATAATAAATTGTGGACCACGTCACTGGTATTTTCAATTAATCAGTCATGTTGTGTTGTATAAAATGAATTAAATCGATTAGTCTGTTCAGAAATATTTGTTTTCTCATACACAAGGATAACCCCTCGTACCTAAATACTGTAAAAGTATTATTGACCGCATTATATTATATGGAGTACACCGAATATTCTGTCCAACCGTTTCTATTTTTTCTTCGTTCGGGTTTATAAGTGATGTGATCACGAGTTTTCACCGAATTCCTCAGCATATCGTGAAATACATTTTCCTTAATGACAACGATGTCCACCCGTGTATACGACACTATATTCTTTGTACGCGGTCCCGAGTCGTGCATCGGACAGTGTTCAATCTATACTTGCATATCTTTCTCTTTCTCTCTCTCTTTTATACTTTCAGTCCGTCTTGTGATAGTCACCGTTTTCTGAGCCGTCTTCGACGGAAATTCGTCGCGGTCTCATTGTTATCCTTAACACTGACCCCCTCCCCTGTCATTCCCTAGACGCAACCCCCACTATTTATATCCACCTGAAACACATACGGAATAATAACGGGTCGTTGAACCACTTCCACTACCACCTTATATTTCCCTTTTCTATCTGCCTATAACCGTTGCTTTTTTTATATATAATGATTTCACGGTGTGCACAACGCCGTGGCATGTACGTACACACACTGCTTGCTCATTAGATGCACGCGCAGAGATTTACTTTATTTTAGACTATTTATTTTTTCATTGTATAAGTTTTGCTAACGTATTTAAACGAATCGCACCCCTCCTAGCGTCGCCCTTGCTCTTCTCCGGCCGTCTGTCTGTCGTCTCTCCCCCACATGCAGATTGCCGGCGCCGCTTGATGTTATCATTGGCGTAATGAGTGAAAAATTGCGTTTTGCCCTCTTATACTGTTCCCTTCTACTGTTGCTACTGTTCCATGATTAAAGCTTACTACCCGTTAACGACTCGTTCTACAGTTGTCGTGTGTGTCCCTTTCTCTCCCTTTCATTTTTAAAAAAAAATAATGACTCGTATATGTGCGTTGATGTTTCAAAAGGGGAATTATGGCATGTCAAAGTGTACGGTTCTCTTTTATGATAGAAAATCGAAAACGGGATAAAATGTAAATTTGTCAACCACCGCCAATAACCCTTTTACTCGTTTGTACGGAGTTTGACACAAGAAAGTCGATAATATTCTCCGCTTTAATATACATGTAATGGGTGTTTTTCATCATAAATTATCACCGCATTAAAACGTCTTAAAACAAACCCGTCTCTGTCGGGTTGTATTGTTGTTTTATATTAATTAATTGTTATTCGTTAATGTTAACCATTACTCGCATTCTTAGATATAGATTTAAACGTAACAATACGTTAGACTTATTAAGACTATAATAATTAAATGTCTGTGGTTTTATTGTCGAGTATACTCGAACATAATGCTCAATAGAAACGGTATGCCGTTTTCTAAACTTAAGGCTGCCATTTGGAAATGCGTCTTTTTGAAAATGAATATTCACTCGGTCATGTATTACATTCCATAGTTATTGTGAGAGTAATACGTATTTACTATTTTTGTCATTGAAATAAAATACACGAGAATCTCATTATTGTGACATTTCCATCGAATAACGCAAACAGTAAACATATATACAGCCTAAAGTGCAATATTACAATAGTTATTATGAAAACCAGACTTGGTCAACAAACTTTAAATATATGTATATCGATTGGATGGATTAGTAAGCGCAAAATTTGATTTTGCAATCATTTAACCAAGACGTCTTCAATTTATTGTTTTGCCAATGCTCAAAACATTCTTTAAGCAATTATTTCCTTTCCTCTGTGTTTTAAATTGCCCAACTTTTTATTCGTCGTTATAATTAAGTATCTTCCTTCTGTTACATTTTTATTTATTTTTGTTAATTTTTGAAACAAATATTGATTTTTTTTCTCACAAAAAAAAACATCAACAAGTTAAAGGCGCAGTCGATTGTGTGTGTTGTTTGCTTTGGAGTGGACCACCTGAATTTAGCTTGTTAAGTAGGAAAACGATTATTCGTGTTTTATGTAACACATGAGGAGGACTTTGGGACTCAAACCGCCGGATTGGGTAAAGCCCGCGTGGGGGATTTTGTCTTGTAGGTGTTCTCACCACGGGCGTTACCATGTATACCGCTTTATCGCTAAACGTTTTTGCCGTTCAGTGGTTCTCAACAACACAGTCTGCGGGTGATGGTCGTCGTCGTCAACCGCAGTTTTCGGTAATGGTAACCCCCGGCCAGGAAGAGAAAATAAATTAGAGAGAGAGAGCAATATATGGTGTATATATGCAAGTCTCTAATTTTATTTCTGGCTCGTCGTCATCGCTGCCGGCATAGTATAGTACATAGTCGTGTGTGTGTGTTGGCTGTCCGTATGTGGTCTCCTCGGCCTTTTAAACGAGACCGTCACGTTCAAATGCTCGTGAGTGTGCCCGTTTGTGTGTTATAAAAAAGAATGTGAAAGAGAGAGAAATTGGGAGGGGGAGGAAATCGCAATAGGTGCTCGTTAATATTGTGATACGGAGTGTTACAGATATGGTTGGCTGATGATAATATCTCAGGTATTTGTACACTTTTTTTCTTTCAATATTATTTAATTAAATTTTTGTTGCGGTTTTCTTCGAGTTGTGACTGAAAATAGTGTGCGGTCGTCCCGTGGACTGTCATTTTGGACACACGCAAGTTATTCGAAAATTATACGTTTAACGTCGTGCAGTTTGGCTGAAATCATAATTACTTCTATTGTATTTTGTATTGCCTTTGCCTCCCTCGTCCACTCCTACAGTCTTCGGGGAGGTAATAATAATGATTATAGTCACGTTACACGGTACCAATACAGCCGGGACACGTATACTATATAATATGGCCGTTGTAGGTATTAATATTCACCTATTGTCGCTTTCCCCTTGTCTTCGCACTCCGCTAACATCATTTTTTTGGTTTATTTTTAGACAACGCGGAACAACTAAAATTATTTAAATAAAATATGCAGAACAAACTTTATATTATATTTTGATGGGAGATATTTCACAGAAAAACGATCAATACAATAGCGGGCGTTAGGAGGTCGTATGTATGAGTCGTTGGCCGAATCCACAAGACTAAAAAAATATCCCTTAAAGCCATAATTTTTCTTTAAACAGTTTTAACAAGTACAATTTTTAATTTTACTTTGCTATTGTCACCGAAATTGTTACTTAGGTAACGTAGATAATAATTTTAAGTGTTTAAATTCTTAATAAAAATGATCTAAATACCAATCACGATTGCACAAATGTCAAGTACAAACGTTGATAACTGCCGTGGAAAATAATATTTTTATTAGTTTCGATGCGAATCTAATCACCCTTTTCGTAAATACATTTTTCTGAGTATTCGTATGTACATAATATAGGCTCGCACTTGCTTTATTCGCTGTAGTTGGGCAACCGTTCGATTATGTATACAAAAAAAAAACAATGTTTTTTACGATGGAAAACAAAACCCGTTAATTATTATTTACGGTTCAATGACATTTGCGTTTTTTTTTTTTTTGTTGGTATTTGTTTATTTTTATTCCGCAATTTGTTCCCCTAAAACTTCCTTTAACTTGTGTTTCGTCATACTGTTATCTACCCGTTCATTCCAATCTAGGTTATGCTGTCTAAATGAGACCTTATCCGCTCATGTTAGCTAACCTAGTCAATTTTTTTTCCCAACCCTCTCTACTGCGGCAGACGAGTGGCAACGCGCGCTACACGTCCAAGTCGGCCGTCGGTCAAACCGAATACTGTATATATATATATATATATATATATATATATACTGTTAAATATAATTTAATGTTAACGTACTGGTTAGTCATAACTGACCAGTATATTCGGTCGAACAAGTTATATGGGTTGAACGCGATTAAAAAACCATCAAGGCCGTTGAGGAAAACACGGAAACAGAGTGCACTAATTTTATGCGGTTTTTTTTTTTTTGTATCATTTCCCTTATATAATATTGTAAATTATTTTTCAAATAATTCGTGCAGCCTCGAATTGTGCGTTCATTGTTGTGTTGTAATGTAACCGCGCTTGTATTATAACGTTCATAAAAGTATCCACGACACATTATCATTTTGTTCGTCGTCCTTTCCCCCTCTTATTCTGCTTGCCGACCCCGCGAAGTAAGTGGTTCATTATTATTTAACACATTAATATGAACCGAGGGAGGGGGAGGGTCACAGCAAATCGGATTGCGTCCGGTCCAAGAGATATTTGACAAATAGGTGTGCCGGTCGGATGGGCAATAAAGGGGGTGAACAGGCGCCGATCGACAGTAGTGTTTTGACGACCTATTGAACCCTTTTTGTATGTGTTTTCAGTAGTTCCGACAGACGAGGGTGAAGTCAACGAGAGCAGCGAAGATTCGGAAGACGGTGGTGGATGGAATTACACCAACGGAAACCAGAGATACTCGGAAAACGACCACAGCGCCGAGGTATGTACGTCCTGCGCTTGTAATGAATTCTGTGTGTCAAGTATAACGGTACTTGACGGCAAAGCTATATATTATGATATGGTTATTGGATTTTGCCAGCCGACCGTCGTGTCGTGTAATTATCGCTATGCGCGACACAGAGGATAAATTGTCGATGATTAAAATTCACTTAAAAACGCGTTAATCGCGTAAACGATACAATAATTACACGGCAAAACGATTTTGTTTTATATTTATTTTAAATATTAAACCCACCTAAAACTGTAATTGTTTGTTGTATTTATTGCAGGCCGAAGACATGGACCGTAGGCTCAACCCTGACGCCCCCGAGTTCGTGCCAGTCTCTTCGCCTCCCCGAGCCGACAACTACGTGAACCGTTTCTTGGGAACCAACGAAGAGTTCATATCGTCTTCGCCTCAGAAGTTCAGAGAGACCATCGACAACGAGGAAGTGCCGGACGAGGACGACTTCGCCAGTTACGTGAAAGCCGCCGACTTGTCCAAACTCAACAACGCTTATGGTATTAACAAACGATTATTATTTATTGTATTTTAACGGCCGCCGTATTGTAGTAATTGACACGCGGTAATCGGTATCCATCCGGTCGTCGGCTCTGAGAATCTATTAGAAATTCCGATTTTAATAATTGAGAAATTACGAATTTACGTTACGGCCTCGTTTAGAAAATTATGCGTCGCTCGTCCGATGTTAACAGAAAAAAAACCAATCGGGTTTTCGGTCACGCGATATGGCGCACCCGAGGTCGACCCAATAAGTTCTTCTCAGAACCATCGTGTTCTTCGGGTATTTAAACCGCCATAAGTTCAGAAAACGTGACGATTTCCTATCTCCGGCGGCCCAGGGCAAACCCCTCAAACCGGCATTGCACGAGATTCTCTTTGGTTAGAGTGTGATATCTTATTGCAGCTGTTGTTAGTGGCCGGTTAGAAATAATAAAACAATTATGGTTACTTTTGAAAAATATGTAAAATTGTATGTATATTATAATAACTCTGCTCCTAAAATAGTTTTATCGAGAGTAACTCAAGTCAAAATTAAGTTATGTTTAATCGTCATTATGAAGTGGTTCGGGCAATTATACTTAAAACACTTCTACAAATGGGCTTGTGCTTAGCTGTGTTTTTGAACACTTGGCTAAAATATTATTGTTAATGATTCTCACCTTATATATGATTGCTTAACATTGATTTTAGAGTCAAAAGGCGAGTTCAACACAATAAATGGTATTAAACCGTTGAACGAAGAACCGGCCGACGAGCTGCACGAGCAAGTTAAAAGAGACGTCGCCCCGTCAGACTTGATGTTCGAAAATGACCAAGAGCCGGCCGTCCGGAACGGCGACGATTTCGACGAATACAGGAGAATCCCGTTCGACCAGTCGACCGATGGTCCCGTGGACATGAACAGAGCGAGAAACTTGTTCGACGACGTCAAAACAGACAACGTCGAACCGTCGTCGGTGGACGCCGACCCTTACATGTCATTGATGGAAACTGTGGTGCCGACCAAAAAAGACGAATTCAATCCGTTTGCTGCCGACAAGATCCAAGAGGAACTCAACGCTTCGTTCTCGGAGAACGGGTCGATTTCGATAGACTCCAAAGTAAACGGCGGCTATGACGATGGCGCCGGCGCCGACGAAACCGAGGTCAATAGTAGGGCCGGTGACGATTCGGTGAGCACGGCCAATGCCACGGTGGGCTCGGTGATCCCGCAGTTCGACGAGGAAGACGTGACGACCACGGAGTTCTTCGACGGCAACCGGACCATGAGTGCCGGCGCGTACGAGGATAGTAAGCTGGACGACAGCGCTAGCACTACCGATGCAGTGGTGGGTTCGGAGCCGTGCACTCCAATGCGGATGGTCAACCAGTCGACGTTCGAATCGGACAACGACGACGTAGAGGACCAATACGTGGCCGGTCAGAGGTCGGAAGGCGACGACAAGGAGAACGACGACCCGTTTTCCTTCGACCAAACGGCCGTGGAAGATCCCGAGGGAATCGTGCCGATCGCTGCGCCCGCGGTTGAAAATCCCGAGGTCGTGGAACCGGCAGGAGAGTCGATCGGACAGTCTATCACCGGAGAACCTGTGCCCGTTGTAGAACCGGAGTTCATCAAACAAGAGGCCAAAGCAGTGCACTCGGTATACGAACAACAGTATTTGCCCGAATCCGATTTTACTACTAGCACGCACGAAGCGTTGATGAATACCACTGCTGGACAAGATAACGACGTAGACAACGGAGTGTCCAGCACCGTGCCAGAAGTGGATTTGGTGCCGCACCACGCGGCCTACTCAGAACAGGAACCGGAAACCGAAGACAGCGACGTGGACGAAGTCAAGTGTCACGCCGAGGGTCTGGATCAGTTCCGATACGACACCGATCCCGTAGCCGAAAACCGAGACAATGACTTTGAACTTAAACAAGACAATTTAAGCGATTTCCAAAAACATCAACATCACGACGATTTTGCGCAACAGGGTCATGACGTTTTTGGGGTGTCTGAAAATCACCTCAACAGCATAGAACAGCGTGGTGATGTATTCGAGCAAAAGCAGATCGAACAGAGTGAGGCTACTCACGAGGACAACGGCTACGAAGGGGACCGTCCGGAAGAAATCGCACACCAAGAAGATCATTGTGAAGTGGTAGACAGCGACGAGGAAATGCACTCTTCCATGATTATCCATTCCGATGTGGAAAGCAACCCGCCTCAACCGTACTGTTCGACCACTAACACTTTAACGGCCGATCCAGATATGATGTCCAGGAGCATGACGTTCGAGGAAAACTTCCAAAACAGAAACATGAGTGACTCGTTGTACGTTATGGAAACGAGTTCAGATTATTTCGGCGATCTGAAAGAGACCAATGAATGTCCAGAACAGGCAGTCAAAGAGTCTAAGGCCGTTAATGAATTTAAGTTCAATGAAGAACTGAATGTTATTGATGAACCTCATTTCAACAAACAACCCAATATTGTTGATGAACCTCAGTTCAACGAAGAACCTAATGTTGTTGACGAATTTAAGTTCAACGAAGAACCCGAGGTTGTTGACGATTTCAAATTCAGTGAAGAACCCAAAATGGTTGAAAAACCTACTGTTGTCAAAGAGCAAGTTATGAATGAGGTCGCGGTAGAAAAACCAGCTGAAGAAATCGTCATAGAGCCAAAACCAGAGGTGATAGATGAACAACCCATGGTGGAAGCAACACCCACTCAATTGGCTGTGGCATTGGAAGAACCAAAAGTTGTTGTACCCCAAGAAGACAGTAACAAAGTAAGTTAACTTACACATTTGAATTAATTTGTTCTTACCGATTTTTGTAGTGTTTTTTAATTTCATATTATGTTTTATGAATTTTTCAGGTCTCTGAAATTGTTGTTGCTGCTGCTGCTGGTGTTGCGGTAGCAGCCGCAGCCGCTGGAGCGGTCGCCTTAGCATCTAAAAAGTCAACAACTCCCAAGAAACCAGAGGCCACCACTACCAAAGCTAAGACGACCACTATGAAAGCTGCACCAAAACCTTTGGCTTCAAAACCAACTGCTCCTGCAGCCATAAAAAGAACTAGTGTGTCCACAACAGCAGCCAAACCGAAATCGGCCACCACTTCAACAACTTCTAGGTCAGCATCTGCCACTTCTCGACCGAACACTGGTCTTAAGACCACTTCTGCGACACTGAAACCTACGACAATTACAAAAACGTCTAGCAAACCAGTGGCACCCAAGACTACGGTTGCTGCACCCAGGCCAGCCTCCGCCCAAAAAACTCCAACAACTCCAAGGACTTCGACGACACTGAAAACATCAACAACTCCGAAAGCTACAACAAGTCCAAGAACTGGTGTAAATGTTACAAGAACTCCACCTACGTTAAAACCGACCACATCCACGACCACGCCCAGAACGTCTTTGGCCAGTAAACCGTCGCTAACAAACGGTACATCAAGACCACCAAGTCGTCCGATTTCTGCGGCTGCAAAGAAACCGTTGACTAATGGCACGGCAAAACTAACCAACGGGGATGTGTCCAAACCGGCTCCTGGTAAAGGTCGTGTTAATTTAGCCACTAGAACTAGCCTAGCACCACCCAAGTTGCCTGCAAAAGCAAAACCCGCACCTAAACCCACTGTTGCACCGCCTGCGATGCCAGGGCCAATCAGAAGACCCATAGCTTCCGCCACAAAAAAGACTGAGACGGCCACTTCCTAAATTTTGATTATTTTATCACACTTCTACTACATTTAAAAATTATATAACATTTTGGTTATTTTATAAAATGATTTATTTATTTTATTTTATTTTTTTATTGTGTTTTAATTTTGTGATTTTTTTTTTTTGCTCTGCTAAAAATTTGTATTTTTCTAATTTTTTAAAAGCAGTTTAAAAAAAAACCGCTATTTAGCAACATGATATGTTTGATAATAAAAAAATATATGTTTTATGGTTTTTATGTTTAAGTGACATTTATAGTACTTGTTTAAAATGAGAGAAACTTGCAAACATTTTTATGTGTAAGTTTTAAATGTATTATTATTATTATTTTTTTTTTTTTTTTTATTGATAAATATTATTTGTTTTAAAGCTATTATTTTTTACATATTATTATGTAGTACCGAAAAACGAACACCATTGTTCTCTTAAATGAGCAAAAACATAAACTGAGCTTTAACTGTATATTTTTTTTTTCTAGGTGCTATACATATTTCAACATTTTATTTTATGTCTAAATTTTAAATTTTTACATCTAACTCAATGTAATTTTTATTGGATCGTTAACTTTATTTTAAACGCCTAACTTATTTTTTAATATTTTTTTCCAGTATGTATACAATTATTTACACGTATTATTTATTATTTTTGGCCTAGATAACATTATAATTATTATGCTCCTACGCTTAGCTACTTCTTATTTTTATCAAATAAAGGTGTTATGTTAGAAAAAATAAACATTGAATTATATAGGCTACAGTTGATAGTATTTGTATTATTATTTTTATTGTTGCATGTTATTATTATCCTCGATTAATTTAACATAATATTTTATACCGTACTTGTAATAGTAAATGCATGGGAAACAATGTATGAATCTTAAAACAATATTAAACAATAATTGTATTTGGTATAATTTAATGTATTTTCTAACAAGCGATTGGTACAACAATTACCTCTTTTATTAAAATTTGTTTAAATGACAAGTGGACAGCAGTTTCAATATCGAAAACCTTTTTTTCTTTTTATGCGACTTATTTTCTTAAGTACAGGACTGACAATAAGTTACAAGTCCATTGAATCAATTGCTTATGGCCGATTAGATATACTCCAAAAAACGCCGTCCATTTTGTTTATTATAAAAATAATGTTTAAATAATATTTGCAATACAATCATTACATAACTTAATTCGGTTTTTGATAAATAAACCTAAATCGTGGATTAAACGGTGTCAGGCCATTGAACCGACATGTAAAGATTTAAGATGGTCTTCTAGATGTAACTTTTTGGCCTATGCCCTTTGGTGACATTGGCAGTGGCTTTAGCGACAGGCTGTTGCAGTATGAGGCTTGGGAACGGCCCATATTTAAACTAGGAACGCAATTTTACAAATACCTATAATATGGAAACCAACATAATTTAAGACATAGGTAATTTTGAAAAAACTAAAATGATTCTAAAACGCATTTTATGTAATTTTTCAAAATTATACACTATGGCGACCAAAATACAATGTGTACCTATACACATGGCATTAGGAATAGGACCTTGGCTATCAGCATTTTTTGTTATCCTTTTCGGACGTTAATTTGACTTTATTATTATACAGTATGTGCGTACGTTAAAAATATTTTAATTTTTAATGGTCCATTGCATATTTTATTTTTACTAAATTTAGTAACTGGCTTTTATCTGAACCCATATTTTAATGTTTCCACTTTTATATACAACGTACATAAATAAATGAAAAAAAGTTAACACTTCGCACTTTGTTAGTACAATTGAATGATTTGATTCTTCATTTTTTCTAATACGAAAAATGTATATAATATTGCTGTTATGGAAGACGTCGGGGAGAAAACGGTGCACAACGCAAAAGGTATTTTTGTTTTTTTTTTATTTTTTTTGGAAAACATTATCTTTTATAATTTACATTTAAAATATATATATATATACCGTAATTAATATTAGAAAATAATTTAATATAAACTAAATGCGCGTAAGTGATTTATTTAAATCGTTGATGATACATCTATTATGAATCGGTCAGCGTTACGAGACTTGCGTTTCGCAACTGGTGGATTTCATTGGCGGCCTTTGTGGAGGCGCCAACATGATTTTGAGCAGGTTTACTACAGGCGCTTCGAAAGTAAGCGAAATAAAGAAAGACACTATGAATGAAGCCACCGCATTTCCAAAGTATAAGATCAGCTGTAAAATAACATAAAATTAGTATTTTACTTTGCATACAAATATAAATATTATATATACTAGGGGCACTAGTTACTAAGGCCTATCGAATAGTATGTATTTTAAAAAGTTCACATGCCCCCTACATATTATATGAATATAAAAATATATATATATATATACCTCGGGGAGGGGGGGGCAATGGCCTCAGTGACCGCCAAACATTTTTTTATTCTATAATTCTATTTAGACATCGGTTTATTAACGTTTTTTTTTTTTTTTTTACTGATGGTTTGACTGTCTATCGGTGAATTAGTACCTACTTGTAATTTAATAATATCTCAACTTGGATAATGTTAAATTGCAAGTATAATGAAATATGTCTTAATTACATACACAAAGAGTACAAACAAAGCAAGAAAATAGGTAAATCACTTTTTCAGCGGAAAAAGTCATTAAAAAGTAATTATTGTCTGAACGTGATGAGTAGGTACCGTGATGAGATTATGTAGGTGAAGCGGACCGTCCATTTGGAAATTCGTGATGGTCATGATGATGGGGTGTACGAGATAGGCGCAGTATGTGAGGCGGCTGAGCGGTTGTAGGAGTCTGAAGGACAGAGCAGAGTTAACGCATCCGCCGTGTCCTGTACAGCAAGCGATCACGATCCAAGCGAGAGCGGCTCCCCAGGCCGAGTGACCGACAGAAGCGTACAAGGCTGATCCGGGTATGTCCAAGTGAACGACGTGCAGACCGTATACCAGGTAGGCCAGAGTGAACAGCGACAGGAACCAGCCCAGTGCCACCGTCAACTAGGATCAGATATGGATAAACAATATTACCATTTATCGTATGCACTAAACGTTGAACTTCTATCAAATAGACCCACGCTCTACATATTATTGTAAATTGATTACTAAGTAATCGTGTACTTACGGTTGACATTTTCAATTTACATTTGGTAACAAACAAGAACCAGCCGGCGAACATACCGAACAAGTAAGGACCCAGTCTGGACCACGGTTTATCATACAGTTGATCGAACAACCCGAAAGGTTCTTCTATTCTGAAATGGTCAATAATAATGCACGTGATAGGTATTTAATGAATTAAACAATGACAATTAAAAAGGTACAAACGGAGATGGACAAGAAGTCTAAATTGACCATTTTTTTACTTATAAATAATGTGTATCTATGTGTAACGCCCCCTATTTAAGAACATGCCTACTTGTTTTTTTAATTAAATTAACTCACCTCGCTTTAAAGTCGTAGTGTACTGCTACGGAAATAGTGACTATCCAAGATCCTATTAAGAATCCCAGCAACGCGATAACGGCTCCTTTAAAATGTCTAAAATACACCAAAAGATATATTACATTAAAAAAATATCAAATAAAATAGTTTTAATTGTTTATTTACAAATATAGTTAGCGGTTATTGAATAGCTTTCGTCTTTAGAGAGTCGAATGGAAGACTTGAAAATTTACAAGCAGTGATTTTTTACTTACTTGGCTGAGAATAACAGCAAAATAATTGCTAAAACGTAAAACTGTGTGTCGTTTGACATGTACCAACTCCATAACATGCACTGGAAATTAAAAAGAATACATAATGTGAAACATATATACGTTCGACGATTATTGTGTATGGACAAATTACCATGTCTTCTTTGGGGTACAAACTGTTTATGTACAATATATTTCTCCACCAATAATTGGCACAGCTCACATGATTGCTATTTTGCGGCTCGAACACTGATATGTTGCGTAGCCAGCGAGCTGATATTTCGGCCATAAGAAGGACTATCATGTACGCCGGTGTTAATCTATAAAATATGAAAATAATAACTATTATTATTATTTAGAGTACAAATGGTATTTTTTATTCAAGTTCTCCGAGTACTCCGAAAAAAAATCTTTTTTTATTAAAAAATTCACAACCAAAGCTAAAATAATAATTGGCTACTTTTTTATATCATCAAATTCATTTAAATTAGCAAATCTTTTAAATTTTTCATCCAAAAGGTATTAAATCCAAAATTGACGAAAGTTTGATGGAATGTACAAAGCAGTCAAAATTGCGTTGGCTACGCAATTTCATCAACCGTGTCGGCATAACTTTTTACTTGATAAAATTTTATTTGATAAAATTAAACTAATAATACCAATAAACTTGTATTTTATATTTTGTTCGTCATTACTACTTTGTTAATAGAATATTCAATAGTAAAATGTAGACAATATAATACTTTTTATTTGTACTTTTTCCGTCGGGTTTTTGAACTCTTTTTTACCTTTTCTTTGCAAAGCACACAATTTATTAACTTTTAATCGTAAACATATAAATATTTGTCAAATATTTGACCTTAAAGTCTATAAATAAAAAAATATAAACGTTTCTAAAAATTATGAAATAAATTAAGCAATATCAGTTTATATGAAAAACACATAATTTTATGCATACTGTAGTACAGTAAATGTATATATTCGTTTACCATTTATAATTTATACCTAGTGGCCAGTAGTTAGTATAATAATATGAGTTTTTCTCTCAGATTCCATTTATTGTCAAGGTTAAACATTCATTTTTTCAACGTTGGTAAGCAAACGATAAACGCATAGAAATGTAATAGTTTTGTAACTTCTACATTCCTAATACTATTTTATTATTATGTTTTTATATTGTATACTTCAAGAAAACTTGCTGCGTAAACGCTGATCGGGTTTAACGCAATAAAAAAAAAAAAAAAAGATTATCTAATATTGTTTTCTAAGTATGGGCCATTATAAGTGATAAACAGCTGTATTATTGAAGATTTTTTTCTTTAAATAAAATTATGGAAAAACGGCCGAGATATATAAAATGCCCAACAAGTAAAACGTATAATCTTATCATAATACAAATTTAAAAAAATCATAACGCCTATCTTACAGCGTCCCAAGCCCAAACAGGTAAACTAACGCAGTGTAATAATACCTTATCGTACCATCTTATGTTACTACCAATAAAGTAATATTGTTATTCAACAATAAATATTATACTGTATGCATACATATCATTGTCTACTGTAATTGGTATTCGATTGGTGGGCCTTGTGGGTCAGCAGAAGGAAAAACGAAGAATATATCATTGCGACACGTTCGCCATGATTACATGTTTGATGTGAATGCTCAACACTTGAGTTGTGTCGAATGGAGCACATAAGTAAAGGTAGAGAGGGTCGCCGACAATCGTTAAACATAAATAAGTGTATTGCTGTAGACACGTCTAGCACACAGTAATGATGTATTGAGGCACTTATTTTGTTCTATAGGTCAGCGAGAAATCCCTGTCGCAATACCATTCCGTAAATAAATAAATTGTTTAAATATTTTATAGAAAATATACAAAAACCGAATACAGATGAACAGGACTGAAGGTCCAAAAACTATTTTCTAACATGTGTTTTCGCCTTTTTGGAACTTTCTTCAATCTTTTTTTTTTAATTAAACTATTTTTCTGTGATTATTTGTAATGATATGCTTATTAGTAGTAAATAGTGCAAAAATGTATTATGGAAAATAAAAACCCTATCGCAAATTGATATGAAATAAATTATTGTTTTTTAACATCGCCACTTGTTGATTTATAGATTCCCTATTGAAGCTCCCGTTACTTCCTGCTATTAAACAGCATGTCCATACTTAGGTATTTCCCAACTATAGACATTCGGCGGTGGAGTTGTCCTGTAGACTTGCTATTTCATCCCGATAAGATAACGGGAACCTTCATTAACTATCCAACTACCCGGTACTATTAGGTGAAATTTAAAAGAGATAAGGAGATTAGGTACCTACAGCTGATTATATATTGAAAATTATCTAGAAAGTCGATTAATATCTATTAAATCATTAATAATCCCCATGAAGACTATACCTTATTTTGATGATACATACCTGATAAAACGGTAACCCAAAAGTTTCAAGAACTTAGTAGTGCCATTCCTCAATTCCGACGAATCACACTTGGGTGTCCTAGAAACAGCGATTTCGGGTCCGTCTTTTTTATTTTGTGACTTATAATACAAATACGTAACCAGCAGTCCGCTATAAAATCATTCGAATGCACCAAGGTTAATTTTGAAAGTTATATTGACAGTTTAATGTATTGATTTAAGTACCTAATGAAGAAGAAAGTGTCTACGGAAAACGTCGCGTTGCTCACTGTTTGGAACATGAAATTCCTCTCCGTTAACGTTCTCAACATTTTATTTTCTATCCAAGTAAAAAAACTTATTATTAATTTTCTTAATTTTTATAATATAAAAAAAAACCTAGTACACAGAACTTATAGTGTAAATAGTACACGACTAACCTGCTATTGAAAACACTTGCAGATAAGTGTGCACCATTATTACCCAAGCCAAACTCAAAAAACGAAGACCATGTACGCAGGTTAACGAATCTGATGGCGCAGGACCGCAGTGTAAAATTTTCCTTCCATTACCAATAGCCGAAAACGCCAAGAGCAGCTGTCCTCTCCGGCTCACTGAAATATTAAACATTTTATGTTATTTTTCTTGTCTATGCAAATAATTTGTCGTTATTGTTATTCATTGAAAGTAAAACTAGTATCTGTTGAGATATTAAGAAAAAATATGATTAATCAACTTATCAAAGTGAAATACAATCAATACTTATGCATATTATGTAAAATTATCCAGTTAAATTTAAATAACAAAGTCAATTTACACAACTAGATAATTTTATTGTTAAGGTTTAACATAAAAACGAGGACGAGGACAGTAATCAATAGACTCAATACATTAATAATAAATTGTGCTTCTGTGTTCACATTAGACTCATAGTCGTACTACTATTTATAATAGTTGATACAAAATTTGCGCTAAATACACATAATGTCTGTTTCTTATGTCGTGTAAAAAGTAAATACAACATTTTTACGGAAGTCTATAAAATAAAAATACATTTTTGTAATACACTTTGTTACATTTTATTTTAGTTAGTCTTGGACATTTTTTGTTGGTGATTATAAATCAATTTATTAAAAATATTATGTTCTTATTTTTCGGAAGTTTTGGTTTTGAATATTAACTAATGACACTTAATTCGTCATCCTCAGAAAAAAATGCTTTGCAATGAATACAAATCGCTATACCAATTTAAAGGTTAATTTGAACAATTCTGATCGTCCGTTCCCTTATTTATAGCCCTAAAGAAAGGTTTTTTTTTTTTATGAAAAATACTTCTAAATAATTTATAATAATTTTTAATATGATATCCTATTAGTAACATAACTAATATTTAAATGATATTATATTTTGTAACTGCGAAATGATACCTTTAAAAATAGGATTATTTTGATCTTCGGAGTCTTCACCATTCATACCCTTGTTCATCTGTATTTTGTCCATAGCCTTTATCTTTTCTAAAGTAATCTCTATTTTCGTATCACCTTCGTTGTTATTCGCCTGACTGATTTGTTGTCTTTTGTACTCTGTGACTTTTCGTCGAAACAGGGACATTTCGTATCCTGAGCCCACAATGGTCAGAGCCGTTACGAGTCCAACTAAGGTTCTGAAACCGATAAAGAAATGTCAATTCTTACGCCCACAACAGAGCCAAGCATGATACGACAACGGTATTGTATTGCTTGGTCCATTTTGGTCACACATCGAATGTGGTTCACTTACAACAGTAGGTACACTTTTTTGTCAGACCACAAAGAATATGAACCGGGTACAGGTCTGACGTGGATCACACTGTAAGACCGGTGACTCGATTCCTTGCCCTCTTTAGGCATGTTAACCATGTTTTGCACTTCTATTGGGCTACAGTCTTTTGGCAAACAAAGACCGAGAGAGATGTATCTAGTCTGTAAGTCAAATCAGTATTTAGTATTTAGTTCATTAAAACATTATCATCCAATAAAGATTTCACTTCCATTATTGTCCAATAATAAAGCTTCGATATTAAATTTTATTCATCATTATTTATAGAACTAAAAATGTATCTACTCATATGAAATTGTTTAAATTCTTACAGTACACTGTATGTTATATTATATTATCTCCGTTCAACTGTCCGTCTTTCGAATCGTATTCATCTAACCACTCTAACCTTTAATTCTTCGGCAATATCAACTATCTGAACTCTGACATCGGCTAACGCATGTTTTTTGTACAGTAAGTCACGATGTTGTAAGAGAACGTGTTTTTTTTTATTACCGTGACTTATTTTATATTTACAAACAAACTCTTTAAAAAATGCAAGAGCCAAAAAGAAAGAAAGCTTGTAGTCGATTAATGACACCGATTTAAGTTGAATTTCACAATGCGTGATTCAACTTGAATTATTGCAAACACTCACAGTTTGATACTCTCAAAACTTAACTTTTCTCCATTTAATAGAAGGTCAATTTTTTATTTTATTCATGAACTTAATCGTTGGTATCAGGTTAGGTTAGGTTAGGACATTTAATAATAGTCTTTTTCTAATTCATTTTCTTATTCCACGCAAAGGGGTCAGTCAGCCAAACCTTCTCTTTCCGGTCATCCAGTCTAATTTATTCATTTACTCCACACAACATGTCTTCATTTATAACATTCACCCACATTTTATTCAGTCTACTTCTACATACTTTTATACTAATTTCTCTTACTCGTTTTACTATTTAAATTTTCACTTCTTTTAACATGCCCAAAATATCAACGAAAGTGTTTAATTAATTTGATTAGATCAATCCATATTGTATAATCAGATTATTTCACTATTTCACATGATATTTTACTTGTAAATTCTATTTTAGCGAGATATGTATACTAACTTTAGGGGTCAGTTGGTCGTGTAGCTTGATAGAGAGCTTAGCAATATAGAATGTAGCAGCGAACGGAGGCACGAATCGATTGCTCATTTTGTTTTGCAATTCTGTGCACTGAGTATGAGATCCAAGCCAAAAATCATTGCCGAAAAATAGTTGCGACGAGTATCGTCCGCTGGCGTCGGCCACTGTAAAAAAATAAAAAATAAATATATATATATATATACATATATTAATAATTAATTAACGCCTACGTAGCAAATCCTAAAAACTACTTCTAAGGAAAAAAAAATTCAAAGTGAAATTGTAATTTTTTTATTTGGGAAAATTGACATGCAGATTAACGATATAGGTGCATAACCGAAATATCACAGGAACCACGCAAGAATAATCTTAAGACAATGGGGGATCTATATTACAATATACATAATGTGTTTTGCGATCACGATAAGAATTATAAAACAATTGCGGTTTTTTGGGTGTATATTTTTACACCGATCGAAAGTATCGCCTTTATTACTGTTATTATTATTATTATTATTTTTTTTTTCGAAAACAATTTTTGTTTTTTTTCATAATATTATGTTACATTAAAGCGCGTTCGTAGAATTATTATTGTTTTCGGCGGCGGCGGTGGCGTAGGAAAACGTAATACGAATAGTGCTCGGGTGGCCCAAATACTTTCTTTTCACATTTTTATTATTTTTTCGTATTATTATTTATTCCATCCTCTATTGGAGACATCGTGAAAGTGGTTAAACTGGTCAAGAAATCGAGACCTTGGTTCGGTATGTACATAAGTATGAATGGCGCGTGCATGAGCTGTGTTGCTCGCCAGGCCGTGATCACTCCGATCGAATGTTCAAGGTCGCGTTTACAATAATATGGCAGACTGTATTTTTAGAAACAGAAGTATTATAGGACGTTTCGCAATTGCGACGGAAGCGGTAATTCTCCGGATGTATGTATACTTTGTACTTACAGTGGGACGGGAAATCAATTTGAAGACGGAGGGAAAACAACATTAACGCACAAGTAGGTACCCGCCGTACACTCAAGGGATAGCGGACAAGTGAAACTCTGTTAAAGACGATTTGGCCAACCTGTCGACTAGTGTTTTTTTTTTATTATACACCAAAACAAATAACTCAAATGCGTTAATGTCGAAAGAACGAGTGGCTTTCTTTCTCTCTCCTCGCTCCCAAGAAATTATACTACACACAGGTGCTGGATTTATACTCTGCACTTGCTCTACCCGCCGCGGTTGTGCAAGAACAACAATTATTATTAATAATGTTTAAATTTGATTTTACTACTTTTGTTTAATTATCGCGAAGAGACACGACGTCAAATTATTAGCCCAGTGGCAAAATAAAAAAATCGTCGCCAACACACAGGTGGCCTACAAAAAATGACCAACGTTTATTATGACTGTAAATTACACGGTTTATAGCCACGCACCGTGGTCCGATATCACTTTTACCGCCCGCCGCGGTTGACACAGCCGGACGCGTCCTATACCTATATTGGTAATCAGTTTAATATTATAATAATATTCGCAGTGCTCGAATTGGAAAAATAAAAGTGGGGGGCCGTTTTTACCTCCCAAAAAAAAAACCACCGCTTATAAAAATTAGCAGGTTTACGCTACGATTTCTAAAAAAAAAATAGCGGGGTACTCGTCCCCTTACGCCCCCTCCCCTCAATTCGAGCACTTAATATTTTGCCAACAAAATCAGATAAGAGTTGGGTTTTTTTAACGCGTTGAAAATTTGTAAAAATTTATATTATGTAAAATCACGCGAGTTAAAACACAGATCGGTTTGGGCATGTCGAATATAGGGTTGAAGTGTGAAATAAGGGTAAAACTAGACAAAGTGTAGAGGACTTTAGGAATAGATGGCCGACACTTTTTAAGTGGACAAGGAAATGGCAACGGAATACGGATAGAGATTATTGACCAGCGGCAATTATACTGGCTGACCCCATTTGAAAATACAAAGAAAAGCCCCATGCAAATGTTTTATTGCCTTGTCCCGTTTAACTCAATTTTTGAATGTATTTGACATTATTATATGATGTAATCCACCAATGATATTTTTCTATAATAACTCGAAAATACTAGTACTTGTAAGTTAGCAGTACTAGCTCTAGGAAGTCCTAAAAATAAGTTTGTTCCCGATCAAGATAATGTAACCAAAGTTATTTAGCACTATAAATTATAACATTATATTATATAGGTTTTAATGGCACATTTGCAATAAAAAAAATACTAATCAATATTATGTAAGTTGCAAACACAACATTTTATAATTAATAACTGTTACATGCTTACAATTTACATAATAATAATTAAATTTACACGGTGCCTGTAACTTCATGTATTATGTTGTAGAAACTAGTACCTATTAAATACATTTAAAAATATCTATTTTGAGAATGGAAATTAGGTCTTTAAAAACGCTTTTTTACTGTCCTAATAATAGTAATCGTTTTCAGTCTAAACAACTTGTAAGCAGTGCAGAAGCTTAAGTCACGTACGACTCGAACCTTCGTTCTGCCTTTATCTATTTTTGAAATAATGTATCTATTTTATTTGTTAGACCAACGGACATTTTTAAAATGTAAAATAAATGAAGGCCCAAAAACCTGTTTTTAAAAACATTGTATTTGTGTATACATACCTACAGTATACAAGCACTTTCATAATAATTCATATTGTATAATTGTTATTACTTATTAATAATAAATACTTTGTGGGTTATTGAAGTTTCTCTAATCATGACATTCTCTATTATAGTGATTACTTAATATGATATTCATTGTAAATATAGAATCATGTAATTTCAAACAAATACTAATATCGATGTAGCATCAATAGACGTTTCATATACATATTGAATTAAAAAACAAAACAACCATATTGTACCATATTAATAATATAATTATTATAATAGTAATAGTATGTGCATTTAAAAACTATATAAGTATTAGCGGGTTTAGTGCGATTTCCATATTATGGTGTTTAGCATAAAAAAACATGATTATTTTATAAGCCGCGTGAGTATAAAAAAAAACTTATATTCTGTCACGGTAGTAGACGCAATGTACTTAGTTTAATAAATGTGTAATTATGCGTTTAAAAATGTCTTTGTTTGAGGTTTTACTGATAACCATACATTTGATTCTATTCATTTTATTCTACTCATAAATCCAAAAAAGGATTTAAGAATCGGCTCAGTATTAGACGTACAGTACGTTTATGTACTATTCCAATACAAAAAATCTACAACTTTTTTTTTGTAATATAAAATTTTTCATTGCGTCAAGTAATAAAATTGCAACAGTTTTGACATAAACGATACTGCTAAATAGTAGCGTTAAAAAAACCTTACGGAAATTGATTATTTAATTATTTGGTATAAAGCAATATATTATAAAATTAGCTATGAAATTATTCGCGGCTCCGTTTAGTTAATTTTACACGATTCTCCGCTTGGATTTGTATTTGCTAACTTGAAATAATCACACGTTGACCGTATCGCTGAATTACAAAAAAAAAAACGCTTAGGTATTTTATTCTCCTTGCGAGGATAACCTATAAAAATTGTTGGGAGTTGATGCTGATGATCGGGATATTGAAAATAAAGTATCCAATGTACAATAATTTGTGCATCGGTTGTACCTGTTTTCAATTTTTTAGTCCGTCTCGTTTGTCCGCATGTTTGCATGAAACTCTTTATGATTTCTCAAATTACACTTAGCGTTGGCCAATTGTCATCACACGATACAAGACGCTCATTGACCGGCTGAGAGTGTCAATTCGAGACGAACTGAGCTTCTCGTTTCCAGGCGCAAATCATTCGTCTCAAGTTGCAAAACCATACTTTGCATTTCCACTTAGCTTCAGCACTGTATGTGCTCAATCGACGATCTCGCGTAACCGCACAGAGGAGACATCTTAGTCATTGCGTACCGGTCAATCATGATATATCATTTACTGCGTTCATTATGCATATTATTATTTCTATCGAATAGGCCTATTGCGTCAGACCAATATCGAAACATTACAATAATATATAATTGCCCTGCACTTTTCGTCCGTGGTTCTCGAAACCGAGGAGGAAAGCGGCAACGCTACTGCTAAGTAACATGGGTAACTACAAATAATTAGTATACCTCGAAAATACTAATATTGTTATTATATTATTATTGTACGTCTGGTGATACGCGAGGGTCTGCGATGATGGGATGTGTAATAGATGTAATTACTGTCGATTGCATCGGGTCGCCCGTGAAAGCGATGAACGCTGATTATGATTTATACTTTCCATTCGCCAGACAGCGCATTTATATAGGTATTATACACCAGCTATGTGTATATTATACAAACATGGCTGTGGATTAGAAATGTACATAATATAATATGGTTGTCATGATTATTGTAACCACTTCGGACGCGCACGGACTGGCTGTCGATTAACGATTTCGATTAAACGTTGCACTTTTGGTTTTTAACGTTTTTTTTTTTTTTAAATTAACTCGTCAGTCGAGTACAAACCGTTGAGATTACATCGGACTCGCTACTGACGTCTATTGTTTACAAATTATCAGTGTGCTTAAGTAATGGCGGAAATTATGTACAGCTAAATAACCCGAGGCAAAACAACAATGTTGTTTTTCTTATTTTACTAGACAAGTGCACTGTTCAAGGCTCTAGAGATAAATGAACCGTTGGCGGGTTGATGACGACGACAACGCGGTAAACTTAACCGACCGTGGAAATTGCTGGAAAAATAATAGAAACATATTTGTGTTGATTCAATTTCCGAGCAGCGGTAGCAAAACCATTGCGGCTAATCGAACGCCAAATCTGTCGCTTTCTTCTTAAAAATATTAAAAATAAAATGTTAAGAAAAAAATTATATTACCGATTGGGTGAAAAGTATTTTTCGGGTTTGACCGTTGTTGCTGATTGTCAACGCAGAATGTTTTAAAGAGTAGATGGAGAATATTATAGAAATGAATTGTTCTATTCGAGGTGTTGTAATTTTATACAAACTAAAATCCATATTTTCCTGGAGGGTTTGAACCCTCAAATCGTATTCCATATCTGGTAACGGTACTAGTTCTTTGTTCAGCGTCTATAACCATGTATGTCATACTAAATAATAAGTACTATTTTAATCTAAAATTGCTATTTAACGTTTTAACCACAGTAAGGACGCCAAGATCATTATAATATATCTTGTAAAACGAAATATGTATACACGTATAAAATAAACAAGTACAACACTTTTACTCTCTCATAAGAGATGACTATAGATGACCTTGGTCGCATAATCGTGATAGGCTCGGCGATAATAATTAATACTGACCGCAGGCATTTGGGGGCATCGCACCCGCTAAGGTTAGCTCGAAACTGGACGCCGTAGATTTGGATTTACTAATAAAATAGGGGCGAAAATGATTATCATTATCATTATTTAATATTCACAGTGTAGGTGTAATTTCAGAAACTCAATGAAAAATAAACAGGATTTCAAAGATTTTAGGCCATTTTCTTATGTAGGATACCTTGACAATAATGCCGTAAATTATACAAACGAGCTTAGAAAGAACATTGTACAACCTTTACCTCACATAATATGTATAGTTGTAATGATTATAGTATAATCTGATATCATATTATGTCTTGCGGTTACCAGTGTTTATGATTAATTGTGTAATACTCAGAGAGTATAAAATAGGCCTGAATTAGGAGCGTAGGTATGTATTACTACAGTTTTAAACGAAAATGGACAGTTATACAATTCTTAGACTTGTATATTATTTAATATTAAACTACCATGAACAAGGTATAATTCCGCTGAGTTGCACTGGCTATTAGTTGAAACTTAGTGGTTAGTTTGAAGTAGGCCAAAACTTGGATCATAACAACGCCGTTCGGTTTACTCGATTTAATAATTACAGTTTGGCTTCAAACTACTTTCGATTTAAAATATGAATTTGAAAAATATCGACGATATTAACGAGTCACGATTTATTGACAAAACTTCCAATCTTCGCTTTTCCAATACCCTCCTCGTGAACAGAATTCCTTTAACTAATGTTTCATCCTCAATTGTCTTAGAATGTTGACAGTTCATACAAGTCTTTTCCCCTAACTGATACGGAAATTGTTCAATCGTTTTCTTTAAATAAGGTCACTTTTTAGGACTTGGAATATTAATTATTATTGATGATTTCCAGCACTAATTTTCCACAAATTAAAGAGTCAGTACTTAAACTCTATAAAAGATATAATATTTTAATTGGTTTTTTATCAACGTTTTGGAAACATAAAACTCTATGCTAATAACCTCCCCCCCCAAAAAAAAAAAAATTAAGTTGTATAAATCGACGATGAATTATCCTGATCTTGGTGGACTTTAAGTGTAATACACGGTCCAATCATAAAGAAAAATAATTTGTTTATCGTTTTTCTACCACTGACCTGAAGGAGAGAATCAAACAGTTATTGTTTTAAGTTATTTCATTAATGCTTTAATTTAATCAGATCTGTTTGTGAAAATTATCTAAAAACGAATAACCGCGGTGGAACCTGTACAGTAAAATATCTTAAAGACATATTACAATGGAATTTAAATCACTTTCAGGATCTACGAGTACAACTCATCACTAGGCTAATGGTTAAAAATACTATTAATTAAATAATAATGAGAACTGAATACATAAATATATTTCTGTAGAATTATAGAATTAATTTACGATTAATCATAGAAAGTTCATTTACTGTTTACATTTTAATACAATTTAACTAAATTATCCTATAATAGCATTGCAAGCGAACTCGATGCGCAGTGCAAACAATTTTCTGTGGTTTTTTTTTCGAATACGTGTTCAGTTATGATTTCGTTCTAAGCGTGACTAATTAAAACACAAAAAAATGGTTAACACATACCCGGTAGGTATACCGGTAATACGGTGATCCGAATCACATGAAATCAAACGCAAAATGGACCACATTGATTGTCCACCATTTATTTTGTAAATGGCTTCCTAAACAGTGTATCCTTCAGTCAGTTACAGAGAATCGGAGAACGGGCTTAAGATCCTTAGGCTACTAAACCGGTGAGTTGTGTTTGACTGCCGAATTCTAAAGATTTTTACAAAACGACTCTAGATGGAAAAAAATCGATATCCGCCTCGCCGACAAATCGGTTCACCGAGCAAACGTCATTTCCTCGAGATAGGTAGCTGGTAATTCCTTTTTTTTTTTTGAGAACGGTGCATTGGCGGGAAGTTTTACTTAAATCGGAAGTCCGGATGATTGATAGACACAATATATTATACACCATTCGGTATGAGCGCATGTATATTATACATTTTTTAATTTCCATTTCGTCATTCGTGCAATCATCAGATTAAAAGGAAAGTACCGCTACACACGTTTAGGTATACTGAGATTTCTCGTTTGAGGTAGCCCGACTAGTTTTTTTTCGCATTAAAAACTGGGCGCCATCGGTTTATGTGCTGCCGCCGTCATAGGCAGATTTACTTTCTTTTAGACGCGCGAATATTGACTTATACAGCTGTTAAGCACTGAAACGAAAACGGACATAATATATGTATTATTTTCATTGGCTACATTCGTTTTACTTGCAAAAAAAAAATCGTTTATTACGGTAATATGTTTACAGTTTATTTGTCTTGGATATCTAAAAGGAATCTACACCGATTTTTTTTTCTAAATTAATAATCGCCTCGATCTTACTAAATACAACGGTATTGGTCGCCATAGCAACTACATATAATATTATGTTATGACGTAGGTACTAAATAATTCACGAAGTTTTTAACAATCCGGACAATTTTAATTAATAGTTGTAGTCCAAGAACATGTACAGAAATAATTATTTTTATTCGAGTTGTTTAATTAACGCGTTGGTATTATACGTAATATGTAATTTCAGATGGAAAGTATATAAACTCTATTAATTGGCAAATAAGTAGGCTGTGTATTAATTTAAAATACAAGTCTAACTATGTGTTTTGTTAGCAACACGTTTCGATGTTAATGTTTAAGCAACTCTTAAAAGTGCCTAGCAAAAGCACTTTTAAGCCTAGCAAAAGCTTAACAGTTTCTTAAAATTTAATATCTGAAAAGGACGTTATACTGCCAATATATTGTAACTAAGTAATAATATTCAAAAGAAGTTATCGTTTATTCACACGTCTTATTTTCACTTTGTATCAACAAATATTTTGGGCTACTCCAATTCAGATCTTAAATTAAAATTAAATATTCGTTAAAAAAGGTATTACTACACAATTATTTGAGTATATTATCTATGATTTCACCTTTCGTATAGTATTCTAATGGTCTAAAGATTTTAATTTTAAGTTAAAACCCCACACAGAAAATTAGTGCCTTTGTACATTTATTATAACAATTAAAAAAATAGAATTATATAGAATAAAGACAAAAAAATAGATTAAAAATTATAAAATATACACTACAATTTAAAGTTAACCCAACACTATTAAACATTTTTCTTTTCCTTATTTTCAAGGGTAAGCATGTGGGTAAAACAGGTGACTAAGAAATTCATGCAATAGGATTAACAGAAAGTTTTTTTAAAAACATAATTGTTGTGTAGCTCACTTTTCGAGGCCCAAACCGAACCGGCACGCAAGGCCTCCAGGTACACTTTCATCGTGTCCCGGCACTGCACGGACAGCTTGGACGCTGCCGGCAACTTGATGGGGTTCCATCGATGAGGGTTGTACACATTGAGTAACCATTCCAGGTCTGTCGTACCGTTTTCGGATGGGGCGGACATCGCGGCAGCCGCAGCCATGAGGGCGGCCGCGTCTACCGCTTTGGCGGACCTGTACACTTTCTGTATGTTGGACGCCGGCTTGGACGGCATCTGGCCGCCGAACCCAGAGGTGGCGTACCCCGGCCTGGCCGTCAACTCGTCCATGCTCATGTCGCTGCCTTCACCGCCACCGCCGTCGTCATCGTCGTCACCGCTGGCCACCTGCTGACCAACGGCGGTTAGCGCGACGCACGCGAATACGCAACAGCACGTCACTATTAATACCCGGATGGCCATCGTGATGGTTGTATCGCGGACACCCGAACACTTATGCCGCTACTGAAATCACGAGCATGCGTCTTCGGACGGCCGCTTCTCTTGCCCCACCGTACCGAAAGCGAAAAAAAAAACAACAAAGTAGTGGTATCCGCTGCACAGTAAGTAGATGGTAGTATATAGCGACACTTGGATGTAGCAGTGTAGTAGTAAAACCCGGGACGCCGTACCTTTCACCTCAGCCACCACTGCGTGAAAGTGAAAACCCCGGCGGACCGGTTGTCCGGTCTCTACGCGCGCGCGGTGGATGTCCGCCACACTGCCGCGGCCGCCGTCATCACGCCATCCGCGGTACGTCCAATTGTACCCATCCGGTCTTATAAAAATTCTCAAAAAATTTGGCATTCAACGCGTACTGTATGGCCATTATTTCCCTTTCACACCGGTTTGGCTTGACGCTTTGCAAACAAGACATTAACATTAATCTGATTCTTGCTTAGCTCATCGTAGTCCATACAATAAAATTTAATTCTGCCCATTTTCTAACAAAAACGTTAAAAAAAACAATTTTGTAATGTATAAGTAATTTCAAGACTACTTACAATTTGCCGGTTTTCTAAACGATACCACATTACAATGCAATCTGTATTACATGGCATGTAAAGCTATTTTTCAAAATCAAATAAAGATTATGACTAACTCAAACTGTGTTGTGACATTCTTGATTGGTTTCAATCGCCCACCTGAAGAAATTATTTGTTGCTTATGAACATTTTTGAAAATTGCTTTAGTTGGTTTTAAAATTAGACGCCTCATTTCAACCCTTTCACATAGTTATAAGCATGATAAATTACACATAAAATCTACTTGAAAATACATGGCGTAACTACAGTTTGTTTTTACAGTATAAATTGCTGTAAACTGTAATCATTATCAATAGAATCGCCTAATGACTTAAGTAATGCCAAATTAGTTATAATATGTATAATTAAAATTGGACGTCAATTTGACTTTTATCCCTTTTAGCGAAGACATTTAAATTAAGAAAGTTAAGTGGTCGACAGGCAAGTAGCAAGTTTTTTATCCGGTTTACTGTAATACAGTAAATTTTTGTTTACCGATTTCTCACGGTAAAACGGAAAGTAACATAATTGAAGTTTTATTAAACCAAATAGACAATGTACAAGCTAAAAAAATTGCTGGTTTATACATAGTTATATGCACGCACTAAACACATTCGATAAATATAGCAATAGTCGATAAGGCAACTTATTGATCCAAAAGCCAAAACATTAAATTTAAAATAACTGTGACAATATTTTAATTAATTTTATTTATTAATACCCGTTTAGTTTTTAAATTGGTCATTGAAACATTGCCCAATCGACATTATTAAGGATATCCAGATACAAGTCCATAAACTGACCAGTGATAAAACGGTTAAAAAGAGACATGATTAACATAATCCACAGTTTATAGACTAGAATAAGAAGTTCGTTTAGATGTTTTTTTTTTTTAATTATACAACTAGTCTTTTAGGGTCAGCGACTGTAAGAATTCTTCTGACTTCTAATTGACTGTCGAGTATTCTCGAATCTCGATATAAATTAGATGAATAATAGATTAAATAGATAACCATAACTACATCCTATAAACGAACACAGCGGTTTAAAACCAGGGCTGTAAAGTGTAAGCTGTTTGTCACATCTTTGAGCTGCACGTATCCTTGACCTCGACTCTGAAAGAAAGTAATGTTTATTGTGAATACCACCGCGATGAATGTAATATATTGTACATAATATACCACATGATCCTTTCAAACGTGAGCCAAGACGCGTCTATGTCTGTAAAATATTAGAATTTAGTATCTTTATTTGGTTTTAGTGTCTATAATTTTAAAAGCAAGCAGTAATCTACTAATTCGCTTATAAAAAACTATCTAAACATATAAAACACACTAAAAAAAAAAACACACAAAACAAGAGTTTTTTTTCACATCTTTGGAGCCGATTATAAAATAACTAGACATAGTAGAAATATTCTGAAGCCACTCTTCGTGTTTACGTGTTGTACAGTGCTATTATTCAATTTTAGTTTCAATGGTTATTATTTAATTATCAGCAGTAGGTATTGTTATGGTCAAATCCTCCAAACAAATATTAGATTATTTAAACCTAATTGTTTTCAAAACAAAAAATATTAAGATAATTATCAAGATTATAATTATATATAATAAATTATTTTCAGTAATATAATGTTATATACATTTTCTATGTCATTACTGCAACATCTTATAAGACTTCAATGACATTTAAAAAAAATAACATTTGAAAACCGCCACGTTCAGATCTATGGGAGTTTTTTGTTCATAAAAAGGCTACGGAGAATGATTTAATCTCAACAATAAACAATAAATTAATAATAAACATCTTGTTGCCTACAACTAATTAGGTTTTGCCAAAACTCAAAGAGTATATTCTTTATTAATTAATACTTAATCCCAAAATCGGAATTGGGACTTAACCGGGTCCTACCCAAACATCACAGAATTTATGTCAGATTCTTGGTGATTAGTGATTACGAGTGTAATGTTATTTTGAATTGTTGAAATTCGCAGAATAATAATAATTTGTTAATAACCAAAAAACGTATAGTAAATAAGTTTAAATAAACTTAAGACAAATAGCATTTCGCATTTCTAGTTTCCCATCAGTAGGCAAACCAAACCTGAAACCATTTTTGGAAAATGTACGAACCGTTAATGTATTTAATTTAATTATGCAATAGGACGTTTTAAATTGTCGGTTTCACCAGATATTAGCATGCTCACAATGATGGGCGCCTCATTGTTATCCTATCCTCGGGTTTCCATTGTTTCTACGATAATAGCATTGTTGGTACATAAGTCATATCGGAAAACCATTGATTATTGAAGTAGATTGAACAATTGTGTACTCAGTAGTCAGCTGTGATATAAACTATAACGTTAAACGGTAAACATACAACTACTTTTCTTTTTAAATTCCATTAACTTTGTTAAGTACATGCACCTAAAATTGATAATTTAGCTTCACAAATTAAATACAATCCTATTTTATAATATAATAATAATATTCCTCTTTTATAATATATTATAGTTTGTAATTCGTTAATTAAATAGTCAACATTTTCTTTACAACTTTGATTACATAGAAAAAAAATTGAACTTTTCAAACCACTTGTAAGTTATTAGGTTGGGAAACATTTCAGAATTAAATATATTTGTTCATTTCATTGTAGCTGAATATTAAATTACACGCGTAGAATGTCATCTGGTAAAAATGTATTGGAAGTATAAAGAAAATAATATTTCAGTAGATCTATTACCTAAAACCCGTGAAAAATCACCCGGCTTAAACTATGTAGCATTGGTTTGAATGCAGTACCAATTGACAGTTGAATATAAACTTATATCGATATTATATGCAAACACTTCAAGCGTTTAACGTAGTAAGACTTGTAACGGTTCAAGGTGGGTAATTTCGAACATGATAATCAATGACGAATTGCGTTAGATAGTAAGGGCCGTATTTATAGTCAGTTCTTAAAAATAAGCATTGCTTAAGAACTGATTATAAATACGGCCCTTAAGTATACTAAATTATATTATTAGAATGTCGAAGACATTATTATAAATTAATGTAACACGTCTCTGCTAAACTGTTTTACGGTAATCCCTACATGACTAGAATAATCATTATAATTGCAATTATACCAATCAGCAGTTTAAGATTGTACATGCAACACTACATAATATGTACTATTTTCTTATAAGTTTGGACCAGGTCGCCAATATTTTTTCTCACTCTCCAAAAAATAACTCTAGTGCTATGTTCAGTGTTCACAATAGAATCGGGCCTAAATCCGTGTGACTATGCAGCAACATTGTGTCTACCAATATTATGCTTACTTACTTATATTATATTTGGAACAAGTATATCACTCGACAGTTTTGATGGTTCAATTTTCAATAGATACAATTTAATTGTTCGGGTGCCTTTCTAGTTCACCTTGTACTATATATTGCCATCAATAATTATTCAAGGTTTTTTTTATTTATAAACCAACGATTACTAGAACTATTATTACTAGAAATAGTTTCGATTTATCAACGACACGAATGCCGGATCACATAATTACCATAGTTACTTACGTTAACACATAAAGAGGTCATAGAACTGCAATATTAGGTATTCAGATTACAGAATCCTTATAAAAGGGCGTGATACCCCTATTAAGGAGTTAGGTATAGGCAATGTTTTGCAGAATCTTAATTTTAAGTTTAAACTATAATGTGTAATAATTATTTTAGCAATTAGGATTCTTTTTTGGTAATTAATTTATTTTTCGGACTATCATAGCAATTTTAAGTAGTTTCGTCTAAACACAGTTACGCAGAATCCGTTTTACTAAGTTCATGGTTGTTTTAGAGCAAAAACACCTATTATGAAATCAAAAGAGAACAGCATTTTGGAGACAATGTCATATCCGATTTTGAAAATAATATTGTGAAAAAAGTCTTAGCTATTTAAAAAAGTAAAATGTGCAATTTTAAATATTAAGCTAAATATTTGTTTTTTTCCAAAAAAGGATATGATAATATTGTCTTCTAAATGTTGTCATCTTTCGTTTTTGTTTTAAGTATTTTTTGTATAATAATTAACTTTCCAGTGCAAATGTTAAAGGATGTGGATAAGCCTGAACTATTTAATAATCATTACTGAATTATTTATAAACTAAATTGGGCAGTGCAAATTGATTTCATTTGGTGAAAATAATTTGACAGATCCGTGTTGTGCAATAATCTCGATTATTCTTAAGTAATAAGTGTAATAGTTATTCAAGTTATTTTAGCACGTTCTGCACGTCATGACGGGAAAATACTCTTATAGAGAGAGGGTAGCCCCTTTTAAAAACCACCGCAGGCACGGGAAAAGTAGACTAGGACGAATATTATGATCTTTTAAAATCATTATTAAATTAATCATCATCTAAACGATGAAATGTACTAATGAAAAAAAAGTTAGGTTAGGTCCGGAAATGTTTACAACATTCAAATCTGAAATCAGACTATATTTAGAATTTTACCTAAACTATAATATATTAATTGAAATGGCAAACATGTAAATATTAGGTATGCAAGGTAAATTATTAAGGCATCTATATATTTTGATAACCGACCATGTTATATAAGGTTTAAGTGATAACATTTTATAGCTATTATTTCCAAAAATAATTATACTGTTATGGGGTTTAAAAGAAACTATCTTTGCTGCTCATGAGCTAGAAATTGTAATTCGTTACGATATGACACCGTCTAGTAGTTATATACATATATAGGCGCAAATTAACGTAAATCACCATCAATAAGTATCCAGCACAGTACTTAAACATGATACTTTTCGCTGTTAATAGACCGATTCATAATTTTGCAAGGAAAATTAATGGCATTTAAAGAGATTTATCTCGGAGGGCATTGCTGAAATGTTACGGATTTTAATCTAACTATTATTATTTTATTTCAAGTATTTTTTTTTTTTGTTACTTAGAAAAACAAATCTGAATTTCGAGTAATACTTACTATAATAGTTAATACTACAATTCATAAATCTTATTGCACCATACAATAATGGTCATTGTACATAATGCACTTCGGCACACTGTACAACATACAGATAAAATATTAAATATATGTAAAAGTTAAAACAATTATTGTTTTCATATGAAGTGTAGAGAGACTAGAGTATCAAAACGAGTAAAGGACAAGAGTCAAAATTTTGCAGGAGTGTAAAATAATAATGACTGTATAAAATCGCCCCGAGTTCTTAGTAAGATGTTCATCACAGTCAATATATTAATGACAAATATAAACAAATTACAGAGAGAAAAATCGGAGTACTGGTTTCAAAATTAATGGAGAATTTGTAGTTTTTTTTAAATAGACATTGGAAAACTTTATAAGTACTAGAGAAAATCTGAGGCCAGAATCGAATTGCGCGAAAAATAAAACTATAAAATGTAAAGGTTTCGGTTTCTGGACCAAAAACTACGTAATAGATTATTGTTATTTGTTAAGAGGAGTGAGGCCACCGCTCAAGCTACTTTCTACAGTAGTACGATAGATACTAGATAGTAATGGTAGGTAGTAGTTTATACTACTGGATCGAAAAAAGGGTCAAATTGTGTTGTTAAATGTTATCAAACATCAACTTTGTAATTTTTTTCTATGAAATATAATTTTTAAATTAATTTTGTAAATATTACCTAATTAATATTAATTGATAAAATTTCATTTTTATATTTCACTAGTTTAAATATTTTATAATTTATGAAGGATAATATGACTGATATATTTCATTATCTTGTTGTTATCTACTATCTTATGAACTTTTGATTTTTCAAACACTTGCCTATTAACAAATAACAACAAGCCTACTTTTAAGAACTTGTATTTAGCCGAAGCTCTCTTGTGACAATTAAGTGTTAACAGTAAAGTAACCGATTTATTGCGCAATTCGCAAACAATGCACAGTGCATCCAGCATCGTTAATTTCCTTATCAGAAATTTCCTACCCGGATGCGGCGTCTATTAGTATATGGTCTTTGGTTAACCACGGTTATGAAAACGGTTTTTTATCAATGTTTTTTAACGCGTAAATTATTTGTTTTTAAAAAATATAAGGTTTTTAACTTAAATTGGTGATTATAGATATTCAAATGTTATTATTTTTTTATTTATTTTGTGAATTTTAATTTGTGAATGAAAAATGTGTTTTCTCGCAGCGACTTGTGAATTATATTTTGATGTTTGTATCAAATAAGTGTTTGAATAATAATATGCAGTCTTAAAATTTGCTAAAACTGAATATCGTATTTGGTCACTATAATGGACACCGAATGGATATGTACTCAGGCTATAGCCTTTGATGATCAGTCAACGAATGACGTTGTAACAGTAAAAAATGTTAGTATTTATTTGCTTGGATATGTCCTAAAATTTTTAGGTATTAGCATAAACACTTGTTTATCAATAAGACATTTTAGAAATTGAACCATATTAAAGATAGTATTTTAAATAAATATTACATGACGAGATTAATTTTGCAAAAATTGTTACTTAGTCCCTTTTTATTGCCCAAACAATAATAACTAGCTATTATTTTAATTTGTTTTTTCTATGTTTAGTTTGGATGCATTATTCTTAATGATAAAGCAGATGATGAGAAATACATTTTACACGAAGGGGATAATACAATTGGAAGACATCCCTTGAACAGTATATACGTGGAACATCCTGTAAAACAGAATTATTATTTTTTAATTTTAATCTATATCTATTATAACATTAGCTTATTTATTTGCTTTTAGTCTGTATCAATGTATCATGCGGTTATCCAATGTGATTCTGACGGCATTGTGTTATTAGACAAAGGTAGCTTAAACAAGACTAAACTCAATAAGGTAATAACGTCCTTTTTAAAGTAAACCCAAGTTATTTAACATATTTACTTAAGTGTTTATAATACATTATTTCTTTTCTTTTTAGAAAACCCTCAGGAAAGATGTTGCTTATTTTCTCGATGAAGACTCTTCATTATCATTCGGAGAAGTCCAAGCAAATTATTATGTAGATGTAGAAAACAGTAATATCAATAGCAAAAGATTTAAAAATGAATGTGGTGAGTAATACAATTATTATTATTGTTTTAACATAAACTTTTCATAAATATTTCTTAATTAGGGTCCAAAGATTGCATAACTGAAAATACCAATTTGTCAGTATGTAAAACTCCGAACACTGTAAGCATAATTATTATGAATTGATCGAAAACGTTGTACCCACTTCATTAATCATAAAATATTGTTTAGGCTACACAACTTACAAAACCGATCGGGGATGACAAGAACTATGAATTTACTAATTGTCAACAACAGTCTTTACCAAACTGTGAAGGTGGTATTCTATCTAAAGCTGTTCTACATAATTCTGGAACTTCTACAATAATTGAAAAGTCTAATCTTCGAAATGTGCTGTCAAATACTAATCCTTCAAGTCCTAGCGATGAACTTTTGTTAAATGCTCTTAGTCAAGTAGAAACAAATGAATGTGAAACTTTTGATCGAGAAGATACTCCGAGTCCTGTATTAGACCTTAGGGATCAACTTTGCGATACATCTTCATTGCCAGCTTTTAATACAACCAACTGTACTGAAGAAGAACTAATAACAGCCTTAAATAACCAAAATGATCGCTCCAAGTTTGATATGCCTGATAAAATTTCACGTGAAGACACTCCTAGCCCCGTTATTGATTTAGGATTAGTTGAAAATTCTGAAAGCGAATTGAGTACACAATATAATGATAATAAAAAAAATACTACAAATTTGGGTTGTGAAGAAACCCAACTTTTTGAATTGGAAAATGATATTTTTGACTGTCCGACTCAGATGGAAACGACTGTTGAAAGTATAAGGAATGAACAAAAGATAAGTACTGGTTTACAAGTTACAAAACAAATAGATTGTTCAACGATTGAATCAACATCTAATTTGCATTCTGATGAAACTCAAATTCCAAATATAAATGATTGTTCTCCACATAAAAATATTGAATCTATTGAACAAAGGGAATTTTCTGAACAAAATGTCTCTAACATACAAGACGAGGAAACTCAAATTGTTCATTTTGATAATGATGGTTTATTTGATTGTTCACAAAAAAAAGTAATTAAATCCACATTCACAAATTCATCACAAAATAAACATAATGAAAAAGAAAATGAGAATATAATAAAATCCGATATTGCTGTGAAACCAAACACGAGCAGCTTTCATGAAATAGAAACCCAAATTGTGTCACTAGACAATGATTTCTTTGACTGTCATACACAAAAAGTTATTTCTACAAAAGATTCAACTGCAAATACAAGTAAAACCAGCGTAAAAGATACGAAGACAACAAATAAATCAAATAACTTGAATACATTGAACACTAGTATGTTTAGTGAAATGGATACTCAGTTGGCTGAATTGGATGATGATTTCTTTGACTGTCCCACGCAAAAAATTATCTCAACAAAGTTAGCAAGTTCTGACAAAGAAAGTTCTAAACCATTAAATACTACAAGTTTAATTAAATCAAGACCATCTGCGTTGAACGAAATGGATACACAAATAAGTGAATTCAATAGTCCATTTGTTGACAGCAAATCACAAAATGCAATAAATTCAAAACAACCAGAATTCGGTCTAGTTTTGCAATCTAATAAGTCGATAAACAAAGAAAATAAAACAGGCAATGATAATTTTTTTGATTGCCCTACTCAAAAATTATTTATTCCTTCCGCTAATAATATTGACACCATGCCGTGTACTTCAGTGCAAACCAGGGATTTAGCAAAGGGTGTGGGATTCAAAAGCGAATTAAACTTGCACGAAGCAGATACTCAAAATGTAGAAATAATCAATGATTATGAAACAAAAAACAATTGTAATAAATATGTCAATACTTTTGAAGCTGATGACGATGACATTTTCAATTGTTTGACTCAAAAAGTTGTTAAACCTTCCAATGATGAAAATGTTTGTGTTAAGAAATTTAACCCAAACAATATTTCAGTTACTCAATCCACCTTAAGTGAACATTGCAATAAGTCTGAAGTCATAGAACTAGAAAATGATGATTTTTTTAACTGTCCTACACAGAAAATTTCCCATTTTAAAGTTGGTAGTGTAAAAGCTGAATCCACGGCTCAGAATAATACAAATAGTAATAATTATTTTGAAGCAGACGACGATGATATTTTTAGTGGACTAAATTATAAGGCTTCTACTTCGAAACAAATTTATGAAAATAGAACTCGCAATGATGTTTTTAAATGTCTGTCTCAAAAATTTGCATTGAAAAAAAGTGTGGATATTCATGATGCGGAAACTCAAGCAATTTCATTTGAAGTAAAATCACAAACACCAATTGCAGCGACTTCTAAACATTGCTCTTTAGCCGATAAGGATATAAATCAGACTATTGAAATGGATGACGATGATGATTTTTTCAATTGTCCAACACAGAAATTACCCTCTACTAAAAATACAAATCTATCACATGGTATGAATTTGGAACACAGTTCAGACATTTCTGTAACTAAAAAATCAAACACAGACACAATTTCGATTACTAATAAAAAAAAACAGTCATTTGAATCGAATGATGATGATTTTTTCAATTGCCATACTCAGAAAGTGACCTGTTCCAAAACAGCCATTAGTATGTCATCCAATATTCACTTAGCGGAAACACAATCAAATTATTTTCACCCAATAAAGCCTGTAAAATCGAGTGCTGTAACTTTCAATCAGAATATTATTGTTCATAATATAAGTGGTATTAATTCTACTGCATTAGACGACGAAGATATGTTCAATTGCCCAACACAAAAAATATCGACTTCAGTAAGTACAAACAGTTTGAAGAATGTTTCCGCAGGAATACATGAAGAAACGCAAGTTGTTTCAGAGTCTGATCAAGTAAATGCTACGTCTTTTAGTCCAAGAAAATTAATAAATGAAGAAGAAACTCAAGTAACAAATATGTGTGAAAACGATTTTTTTGATTGTCCAACACAAAAATGTTTATCAAACATAGAAAATAAGTTTGATAGAATTCCTAATAAACCTAAAAACAATTTAGTGGATACACAAGAAGAAACACAGCTTTTGACTGAAGATGATGATATTTTCAATTGTCCTACACAAAAGATATCTCCGATTTGTAAGAATAAATCTTTGCCGACTAATATGAGTAAAATACATGAAGCCGAAACACAACAAATATCGAGTTTAGACAAATTGGATAGTATTTCAAAGCCGAAATCTAATTCTTTTGGGGATCAAATTAGTGATGAAGATGATGACTTTTTTGTTTGTCCTACTCAAAAAATAACGTCAAAGAATAGGCTTGAGCCAACACCAAGTAGTTTAATATGCAAAAAAAGTAACATACACGAACTTGAAACACAAATAGCAAGTCCAATCAAATTGCATAAGTTTTCAAAGCCAAGAACTTGTAATTTTAATAACAAAGGAAATGATGAAGACGATGATTTTTTCAACTGTGCTACACAAAAGTTATCTTTAAATTGTAAAGTTAAACCAACAACAAGCAGTACGACAAATGATAATACAAATAAAATAGACGTCCATGAAAGCGAAACTCGATTATCAATGAGTCCATTAAAATCAGATAATTGTACGAATATTAATACTAGCAGAGATCAAATTAGTGACGAGGATGATAATTTTTTCAACTGTCCTACCCAAAAGATATCTTTGAATTTCCAAGTTAAGCCAACAACAATCAATATAACTAAAGAAATTACGAAAACAGTAGACATGCATAATGCCGAAACCCAACAGCTATCAAGTCCAACTAAATTGGATAATTTTTCAAAGCCACAGAATGAAGATGATGATGTCTTTAACTGTCCAACTCAAAAAATTATCTTCAAAGATAACAAAACGACTGTTGTAGATTCAAAAAACATTAATGAAGACGAAACTCAATGTTTTGATTTTGACAATGACAATTTTACTTCCAATAATTTAGTAAACACAGTCAATATACTTAAAACTTCTAAAACAAGTACACAAACTGGCTGTTCAAACGTGAATAAAAATTATGATTTGCCAACATTAAAACGCAATGTATCCTCTATTGGAGTTATTCAGAAAGACAGAATTGCCAAAAGTGAAAAGTGCAGTTTAACAGGCGGTTCTAAAACAAGTAGTGTACCGCTAATTCGCATTCGAAATGATCTACACGCTCCTGGTGAGCGCAATAAAATATTAAAGTTGAGCAATAAACCAAATAAAACGGTACAAAATGTTAGTTGTACAAGTGATGACATTAAATTGGGAACTGAAAACAGCAATTCTCCGAGACGCTCAAAAAGAAGTATTAAAGGAAAATTAAATCATCATGGTTCGATTGAGACTACTTCGATTATTAAACAAGAGCCTATCGATTTCGATTTGGGTGAGTCAAGAGTATCTAATACTTCTAAAACTACACCTCTCTTAAAGCAAATGGACGAAAGCATTTACAGCCCTTTTAACATAGTCAATGCTTGTAATACTATTGTGGACTCTACAATGAAATCCAAGATTGTTAACAATGTTAGCTTACCAAATAGTGAATTATCGACTCCCAATGATGCAGAGAAATGGCAATCGTTTTGGAATAAGAAAAAATCGAAAAGTCAGGAAAGCCAAAGCAGTGGGGTCGGACAGTCTACTTCCAAGGTTATCAATAATGACGTAGTGGTTGTTAGGAAACAACGATATCAAACCAGAGCAGTAACAAAAAAAGAAAATGGCTGTGAAGATGTCAATCGAAAACGGAAACTGGACCTTCCTAGCGAAGATAGCAATAAAAGAATATGCAATATTGAAAAGCAATGTCAAATAAGAATATTAGTAGGTTAATTTAGAATTTGTACTTGTCATAATCTGTAACGTCATTTATTTTCATTTTAGGACAAAAAACCTGAACATTTTATTGTCACATTTAGCCATTTAAAAAGTCGTCACCTACAATCAATGAAAGAATTTGTGGAAAAAACAGGTATTAAAAAAAAAAACTATTTTTTTATTAAAAACTAATTTTATAAAATGTGATTTTCATTTTTAGGTGGTTTTGTAACGGACGAAATTACCCAATGCACAATATTGGTGACCGATAAAATACGTTGCACTATGAAAATACTATCAGCGATTGCAAGAGGTTGTCCTATAGTCACAACTAGTTGGATTAAACATTCCTATGCTGTCAAAGTATTTCAAGGTATTTTCAAAATTAACTATTATGTCACTAAGATCTGTTTCATACCTGCACACATCTATGTTAGTGATACTATTTGTATTTGTTACAATCCATATGCTTGTTATTACCAAATTTGTATACGGCTTTCAAAAAAAACTTTGCATGAGGTGTGAAATGAACCTAATGTTTTCTATATTAACATATTTGTGCTTTTTATAGATGTGGACGATTTCATAATCAAAGATAATGATGCTGAACGGAAGTATAACTTTCGGTTAACAGAATCTCTGTCCAAAGCTCATACTAAAGGTCTCTTGGATGGTTACACCGTTTTAATTACTCCATCAGTAAAACCTAGGGACATGAAAGGTACTACACTACTTAATACTTTTTATTTGTTGGTCTATATAATTTTTTTAATTATTCCAATAAAAATAAATACGTGGATGTGTTTAGTGATTATAACGTGCGCTGGCGGCACTCATGTTTTAAATTGGCCTAAAACCCATCTTGAAAAGACACTGATTGTGACATGTGAACATGATCGTCAACATTGGAAAGCTATCTGGGACATCAAAGGAGCCTCGAAAATTGACAGCGATATACTTGTGACGTCCATTATCAGACAAAAGCTCCATTTATAACGAGTTAAAGAACAGAGTATAAAACTATACTCAGCTTAATCATTAAAACAAGTAGCTCAGTATGTTTAGTATAGCGTATATATTTTTAATGTATGAAACGAGTTCAACAGTTACCTTTGAAAAATGAAGAAGTACCTGAGCGTAAATATTTTACTTTCAATAAATTAATTTTTCTTATTTCTTAAAAAACACTTATTATTTTTGTTATTGTTAATACATTTTTTACTGACTGCACCTCTAAATTTTATTAATTATAAATTGTATATTTAAAAGTGTGTACACATTTTTTTTTTAAATTATAAGAAAAAAAAATTACCTTTCAAGCTTCTCATCAAAACTAAAAAATGAAAACCAATACAAGTTGTACGTAATTAATATATATATATTTTTTTTTATCATAACATCACATGTATAGTAACAAAGTGCATACTATATATATTTTTTGTATAATAAAATAAATATAAACATAGGGGGAAAAATGAATGTCTTATTTAGTGTGTTTTACAGTAAAATTTATTTTAAATAATAATTTGTCTTTGGTTTTATTATCCTTAGATAAAAAAATTATAAATAAGATCTATTTAATAGTAAAAATTGTTCTTGGCTAAAATGTAACATTACTATGATTAGATAATGGTAAATAGTACATTTGAATCAACGATTTGGAGGTTTCAATATAATAATTAAAGTATTAGGGTCATCACTTAAAATACATTGAATACATAAAAATGTTTTATTAATAATGATAAACAACATGTATATTTTTAACATAAACTATTTCATTAGGTTTATTATAAAAAAAAATATATATATATATATTTTTAGCTGATTAACAAAATCAGGTTGATCATTTTTACATCACAAAAATTATGTTAATTGTATACAAAATTATTGCTCAAGTACCGTGTGGACTGAGCATAAATATTACTTTAGAACTATTGTTGTATTATAAATACTGTTTTGGCTTCTAAAACTTATCACATTAATACAATAAATATAATTAATTTAATAAATTATGAGAATTTACTCGTGATGCTAAAGTATACAATATCGTGGCTTCCCAAGAACAACAACCTAAGTGCAATTTTTTTTTAAAAGGTTTTTTGCGGTTTTGAAGTTGGGAACAATGAATTTACAAAGTCTATAAATAAAACACACTATTATTCACTGTTCATTTGTTTAAATTATCTGGGTTTTTTTTGTGCAAATATAATTGTTAAAATGGGAGTTTTATCAGTTCACTTTCCTGTGAAATTTAACAAGGTAAACAAGGCATAACTGGTAATTATGTCATTGTTCTTACGAGTTGCGATATGCCTTAAATATTAAAGTTAAAAATCTTACGTGATTGTATAGTAAACGAGTAATGCCAATTCTATATTGTGTATTTTCTAATTTTCATTAAACACATTTAAGTATTAGTTCAACTAGTAATACACTATGTTTTTGTGAACTTAAAATAATTAAAAAAATAAAACAATAATGTTGTACAAAAAAAAAATATATGTATAAAGGTGAAATGTTGTATAATTATATTTTAATCCAGTCTTATTAACTTGGTTAAAATTTATATTTATAAAAATTTGTTTCTCCCGGCAGTATACATAATGCTAAGGTACTCAAATCATAATGATTTAAACAATTTTTAAATGCTACTGTAATAAACATAACATTAAATGTACAAAGATATAATGTTTGTTGATAATTACAAAACATAATTACACTATTTACAACTTTTTTTATAAGTTTATAACTGGTTTAAAATAGTATGGTCTCTTTGCGAAACAATTACTGACTTACCGATGATATTTACAAATCACTTTATATATATACAATCTATAAAAAAAAAAAATTATTGTTCTTATATTACATGGTTGTTGCATTCTGTGTTTGACAACATTATTTTACTGTTTGGTAATTTAAGTAAATATAATTTATACGTACATGGAATATTGTCACAGAATAAAAATGTTGTCAAGGTTATCAGAAGCTGAGATAATAAAGAATAGTACAAAATACTAAACTTGAGGGAACAATTTTTAAATTTATAAATTATCTTAAACTATTTTGTTCTAATGAGTACATAAATATTTGAGATTATGAACAGATGGTAGTAATAAGAAGAAGAATTTATTAATAATTGAAAACCGAATTCATAATTTTTGTATAATTTGATCCAGTACACCTATTTACTAGGAAATAACGACTCGTATGATGGTGGTAGATCTTTGTCAGCCGTTCTTGCCTCGGTTCCACTAGCTACCACATTACTCGGAGGAGCGGTGGCCATCATTCCCATGGTGTCTAAATTTGGTACCGGTTGCATTTCTGAAGAATGGGGATGATTGTTGTGATAGGACATACAACATAGTGCGCCAAAGTGCCTGAAGAGCCACAAGCAAGCAATGAAAGCCACAAACATTGTGAATAAGCCAGCAACTGTACCAGCAAGAATTTTTGTTCCGAAAGTTGTGTTAAAACGATCTATGTTTCCTAAAATCATTTGAACAGCGTTAAAATTTTAACAATTGCAATAGTTATATATAAAAAAAAAAAAATTAATATTTAACAACATTACCATTAAGAGTTATAATTGAACGGCATCCGTCCTCGTCTCTACAGCTCTTGTAAGGACAGTTCAGTTTGCCGTCGTTGAAAAAATCCTTATAAATGCAAGTTTTTGAACCACAACTTTTCCATAATCCAGAATCAAACTTGCACTCTAAAAATAAAAAATAATTATCATAACAAGAAAAACATTTTAAAAGAGTCACAATACAAAATCTACCTTGGAATGTGGTAAATACAATTTCAAAGTTCAGCTCTTCGTCTTCTAACAAAGATTTGTTGCTGACGTGTATTTTCACTTCAATCAATCCTTTGTTGTCAATAAATGAGTTTACAACTTGTTTATCGTCATTTGCATCTTCACGGCCATTGTTAAATTCGTCATCGACGCCAATTTCAAGTGCATTAACTTTACCACAAATTCTATTACTCCACGGTTCTGATGTTTTTATTTTGAAATTGAAGTTACCTAAATTCACAGTCTTTTCGGTATGTCGAAACTACAAGGACAAAGTCAAATAGGTTAAAAGTAAGCATATTTAGCTTAAGATTTATAACTAACAAATTGAAAAATATATAATAAATTAGTTTTAGCTTCGATGCGGAGCTGAGAAGGTATTGTTTTTACAATGATGTTTTTTTTTTTTTTTTGTCTGGACCCTTGATATCTCGTAAACCGCAGAACCGATTTATTCGTGTAGCAACTCTATAAATCAGAAATCATACCTGGAAGGTACTTAAGCAGGCCAAAAATTAAAAAAAGTCACCCCTTCCCCATCAAAATCGAGAAAAACACTTAAAAAATGTACAAATTTTTCAACTTAAAATTACGATGCTCTATAACTTTTTTAAAAATAGTCGAAAATGTTCCAAATTTATATGAATTGTTTTTCAAATATAGTACTATCGATAAGCATTAACAAACCAAAAAAATATCATAAATCCTTTCCGACGATAAAATTTATCGTCAAATTTTTTTTTTATTAAGGAAAAACCCCAAAAATAGGGTAAATTTACACTTTTTCCGTAGTTAGTTTCTAGGTTGCTATGTGTGTGTGAATCAACAGTCAACGGGTAATGAAAATATTTTCATTATATTGTTAATTACCATCAACCCTTATCGTATCCACCCTGCACAAGACTACTAATTATTAAATTTTAAGTACATTATTGCTGGTCCCACATACTATCCACAGCTTCGCATCAAAGCGTTTATTTAAAAGTGATTTCGTCACTTTCAGTTATAATAAAATCTGTAGACCTGTTACCTCTCCGTTCCCACTATGTCCCGACCCCAATGCACTGGCTTTTTTATGTATATATTTAAAAAAAAAATTCTAATCAGGTCTAACATCCATTGTTATAGCTTTTGAAACTGAATAAAAAGTATTTACCTGAACATAATCAATACACTGGCCTTGCTCGTTGCGCCTGAAAGACATGCGCTGTATAACAGCAAATACGCCAAGGCCGAGAGACGATGTAACTGTAAAGCGACAATTAAAATCTTGTTTGCTATTCCACTGATGGAAATATCGGCTTTCTTTGATTATCATAGCAGACTGTTCTTCGCGACCAATTAGATACAGATTACTTGACGTAAAGCTAATTGAACAGACGCTATCATTTTCCAACACTTCTAAAATAATACAAACACAAGATTAAAAATGATTTTATAAAAAATTAGCTTGTCAGTAGAAGAAAATCTATTTTTGATGCCTTATGTTATAAGGTTGTAGTAAAGTAAAAAATATAAAAGGCAAACTTTGGCTATTTATTCTTTAAAACGTTGACATACTTTATATTAAGACAATATTCATGATATATAAAATGTTCATTTTAGTAGTCTATTTAAATGCTTTCTATATACAGAATTACATTCAAAGTCAAATATAAATTTTTTTGTTTTTAATACGAATTTAAAAGAAAGTCAAAAATACATATAAATAAGGAACATAATCCTAAACCATTGGATACCTTATGTAAAATGTAACAATAATAATAATATGGAATAATGCACATATTTTAAACGTCAACAAACTTAATTTAGTTAGGAATGAAATTAAAAAAAAAAACATATTAGTAAACAAAGTGGTAACAAGAGTAGTATAATAACTACTAAAAATAATAGAAAAATTAAATAACATCCATATGGGTCATTAAACTAAAAAATTTAAATATTGTTTATCACAAATATTTATATGGGTATTTTGGAGTTATCTTAGTTCTAGATTTAAACATATTCCGGATGTTTAAAATGATAAGCCCATATTTATTTTATAAATATTACAAAACATGAGTTCTGCTTTTTTTAATTTTTTATTCTTAGCTTTGGGTAATATAAAATAAGAAAAGCTAAAAAAATGTAAAACGCCAACCTTTGAGTAGGAAGAGATAAAATAATTTTAATAGATAAAAGGTGTAAAAAAAAAGGGTTTTCTGATGAGTTACATTATTTCTTTTTTTACAATATACATTAATATTCAATGAAAGTTGTATTCTTTCATTTACAAATGTGTTCCGTTCTATATCACTACATCACACATTTGGTTTATTTTTAAATATTTATAATACAGATTTATCACATGGATGTAGCTTGTTAAATTATCATATTTTTTTTTGTTTTTACCATAATTTCCTCCCAATTTAACTGTATCCATTAATATACTTGTCAGATTTTATTTCTTTTATATAAATAATTCAAATAAAAGTATTGTGATCAAAATTTATATAAATATATGGAGAACGTTATCGAAAAAAAAACACAATATTATTTGAAAATCATATTAAACTACTTTTTCATGACCAAAAAATCTATTATACCTATATTAATATGTTTTCATATTATTTAAAAAAATTACACACAATAACAATAGAAATAATAATAAAAATAAATGTAGTACCAAAAGAAATGTCAAGTGTGTAAAATATGAGTCATCGAAATTGTATGACTAATAGTTATTTACCTACTTGGGAATAATTCAATTTTTAACACTATTATATTATATAATAGTGAGTGACTATGCCACATATTTACATGAAAATAATTTGTAAATCCTCTTAAAAAAAAATTGGTTTGAGCTATTACTCTTAACAATTGGCTTGTATACGTGGTATACGTGGTATAACAATTGGCTTGTATACGACTACTCTTAAGCGATAATATTTTTAAAACTGTAGTAACAATAAGTTGTAAGTAATTTTAATTTTAGTAAGTGCAGGAGCAGACTACTGGCAGATCGGGAGACCGGCAAATTTTCCGATGGGCTGGCCAAACAGTGCAAAGAGAGAACAGGAGTTGTGAGCTGGGGCGGGCGGGGCCTAGACTAAGAGCAAAGGGGTTGTTGGACAAGGGTCGGTTTGGTTATGTTACGTGAAGTAGTATTTTGTAATGACATTAAATAATTTGATATCTTAATATGTTTTTGTATACCATTACATATATAAAATATTGTATACTAGAAAAAACTTAAGCAATTTATGGTTATATATAGTAAAGAAAATTAATATTTAAATATGAATTCTCAACAATTTATACAAGGGATTAACTTATTTAAACAGCTCATCCACAAGTGATCATGATATTGCCTTAACTATTATACAACTCTTTAATAAATGCTAGATTAAGCCCCTTAAAGTACTGTTTTTACAAGTGTTGTGAAATATTTCCATACTCAAATACTTTTTCAAAAAAAAAAATAATAATTCAATAATAATAATAACAATATATATAACACATCAAAGAAATGTTTAAAAAATGTGTATATCTATTATGGCTCTTTATAAAATAACACAGCGCCATGGGCCAGTCTATACATATTTTCCCGGGCTGGTCTCATGGAGCCAGTCCGCCCCTGAGGTGCACAGTCGTAATATAAATGGCAAGTCTTAAATTTAAATGTATTATGTGGGATGATGTACAAAAAAAGAATACCTAATATGATTATACAGGAACAATAAGTATATTATGGGCGTGACATATGGACAATAATATTTACATAGTTTTGATTTGACCAGTTAAAAAATGTAACACAAAGTACTTACTTTGGAGGTAACTAGCGGTCTGACCGATGTATAGTGTAAAAAGCAACGAGTGTATTGCAGTAAAATGCATTTTCTCTGTTGGAGGCGATGGCTGACAATTTCTAGGTCGTTTCTAATGCCAGGAAGATTTCATTTCGTTGTTACTGAGCACGGCAGAACAACACGTTTGCCATGTTGCTTAAGATGCGACTAAATCTGTTTGGCAGTTGTGTATGGTAAAATATTATTCGTGTATTACTATTGCGAGCAATAACACTAGCGGGACAACAATGTATACACTTTACACAAACAGCAGACAGCTAACCCGTCTATACTCTACTGTCAGACGATTATCTAATCACAACATTGAGCAGTTCTGCTGGTCGTGTGTTATCACACCATCACGAATTATTGTAAAATAACCGTAATGGTGGTCACACTGTTTATACCTCCATCACTGCGTTTACTGCCAGACAGAGTAGGAAATAGGAATTACTTATTCTATTCGCATGGTAGGTAGGTATGAAAAAACTGTTTTTTTCTCCATAATAGACCAGATTTTATGCCAATATTATAAATCGTTATAGTCTAATGTCTATATGGAATAACGTTTCAACACGAAAGCGCAATTGAACGTTGTTTTTCCATCATTATGTAAGTTACACAACATCACATTTACGCTTTACCGCAATAAGTTCGCATTGTCCTAGAAAACTCAAGGTAAATGTTACCGTGGTGACATATTATATTCCTAGTGCTAGGTAAAACCTATAGGTTATTGCGCAGGGGGACTGGCAAATAATGGAAAAATTACCATTGTTTGATTTTGTGTTGGTGGTATTTTTGTACACTGATATTTATAAAATAACCAAAATAAATGAAATTGATTTAAACTTGAAATAGGAATACAACAATAAGGATTAATGACGTTATAAAACGCATAAGTAAATGATAAATAGACAAATTAATTTTAAAAAATAACATAGATGTTGCCAAACCTCATTATGTATTGAGTGCATTGCCATACAGGGAATAAAACATATAATCACAAGTTAAACCGACATACCTAATTTTTGTATTATGAGTATACGCCGATAAACTTACATAACTGTATTTATTTTACCATAAGCAATAAGCCTTGTTGGCCGTTACGAATATCACTCGCCTATACCTTCAACTATCTAGGATGCTAAATTTTCTCTTAATTCCTCAAAATATATTTGAAATTTTGTAATACTTACCTAACCATATTACAAAGTCATATTTTTACGACATTTCGGTAAAATATTTATATCATGTGTAGGTAAAAACGTAAACATTTATTTTAAGACATTTTAATATCCCAGCAAATCCAGAATTTTTTTTTTAATTTTTAAAGAACCTCAACTGTCATAGAGTTATTAAATGTAATTTAAAATTATAATTTGAGAACTTAATGTATAATATGTTTGAGGTTATTAATTATTTTCAAAAACTCTTCTGTGTGTTAATTTTATTTTTTGTGTACTTATGGGTGATTTTGTTAAAACATTTCTCACTGTTAAACGACAGTGGTGCAGAGATCTCCTCCTTAAACAAATTAAATTCTTTAAAAAAAAATGTAAATAATCCATTCTATGGATGTTACTGATGGGCAACTCTCAAAATCCATTAAAATTCACGGTGTAGGTATACAAATATTATGTTCTCGAAATATTTTTAAAACCAAAAATAGCCTAAATACCTAGTTGGGTAGTAGTAATCTACCGTGTAAAATCACAAATGGTGTCTTAATCATTAGTGTTGTCTACTTGTTCAAAAGAACTTACGACTAATATTTTACTTTAAAATGCCTTTGTTTGAGCAATTAGAAACAATATATTTTTAGTTGGTTTGCATAATATATGTTTACAAAACAGGAGTACAGATTATATTTCGAACTTCCATTCAAATGCATTCTGGTAGAGACTTGATTGACGACGGAACGGCGTCTTCAATGATTTTACCGCCTTCCAAAATAAGTACACGGTCGTAATCCGATATCGTCGATAATCTATGCTAAACTCCCGACAAATTAATCAGCATTAGTAATATCAAGTATCTAATGGATTATTGCTTTTCAATGAGTAAACAACACAATACCAATGTACTTACTGCAATGGTAATAACAGTTCGACCGTGGAATGAATTTTTTATCGCCTCCAATAATTTTGTTTCAGTGTCGTCGTCTACTGAACTGGTGGGTTCGTCCATTATCAAGCAAACGTTGTCTTGTAAAATTGCCCTTGCCAGGCATAGCAGTTGTTTTTGGCCACTACTCAAATTGTCCCCCGCATTGCTCACTATACCCTCTGCGAACAAATAATTTGGTTCCATTTTTAAAGTTTAAATAAAATAATTTTGATTTGATTGCAGGTAAGATTCAATCCAGCAAAAGTCGACATTGTTGTACGCACCGAGGCCGCCCAACTGTAGTTGTACAGTTTCTTCCATTTGCGCCATTCTCAAACAACTCCATATCTCGTTGTCCGAGTATTCGTTTTTCAGGTCTAAGTTTTGTCTGATTGTACCGCTAAACATTCTTACGTCTTGGGGTATGACTGAAATACGAGACCTTAAACTTTGCAGAGGTACATTGTTTATGTCGACACCGTCAATCGTTATTGTCCCGTCTCGAATCGGTACCATGTTAAGTATGCTCATCACCAAAGACGACTTGCCACTGCCCGTACGACCGCATATTCCTACCTTCAACATAAGACGTGTGATTGTAACAACTACACATTGTGCAATTATTAAGTGTACATTGTACCTTTTGCCCCGGTAGAATGTGTAAACTCACGTTGCTGATGACGGGCTCTTGATTTTCGTCGTACTTTACCGATACCTTATCTAATATTATGGATCCTTTGGACGGCCAAGCTCGAGTGATTGTAGCTGAAAACCCTTGCGCTGTGACTTAATAGCAAAATATATAAGCATTGAAGAATCCAACTTACTATCACTTCTATAGTTTTCTGTCGGTATTGTTGCGAATTCTTCAGTCCGCTCGACAGCACTCATGTACGACTCTAAATCGGCAAAAAATTTGACTACCCAATTCAAGTATACGGGTACCAACAAGGTGTAATTTATAGCTAATCCAACCATTGCCGAAGAAATGGCAGAAGAAAAAAACGTGGTAGTGATTAATGCTACCATTGTTGCCACAAAAACAATAACGCCTCCTAAGTAATCCTAAAATAAGTATTGAAATTCCAAATAAATTAGTATGCATTATCCACCAGCAGATACATTAATAATTTTTATAAAAACACAATATTATTTGTATTTAACGCCTCACGTTATACTTATATTTAAAATAATATTTTCTAAAATCTCAACAGTGTCTTACCAACGCGATTCCAAGCCATCGATTGGACGAACTAATGATCAAAAACACTTTCGTATGGTTATCGATCCTGTTAATCATTTCAGACATAAACCAAGTTTGTTTCCCGAAAGCTCGAATTGTGTCTAACCCAGAAATCGTTTCGTTACAATGTACGATCATTGGTGACTGTAGATTACCTTCCAGTTTTTGCAAGTCCCTGAAATACCGAACAATTGAAAATATTAAAAGTTATCCTTTAAAAAGTACCTACTTACCTAGATGAACACCTATAAAACTTCTGAACTGTGTAATACACAAGACATATTGGTACAACGATAATTAAAAACCAATGTGTTATAATGGCGTTCACGACAATGCCACACAAACACAAAAAAACGAAATGCACCAAACGTTGCATAGACGTACCTATTTTCTAAAATGTAAAAATTGTTTAACTTTAAAATAGATTACCTCGTAAATTCCATGACAAAACATTGCCAACTATACAGACAACATTTATTTATATAATTTTTAGTTTATTGTGTGTTTTTTTTTATTTGGTTGTACTTTTTTAAATCGAGTTTTGTAAATGCACAATAAAGATGTTTTGTCATGAAGCGCGAATTTCAATTTCCCCTGAATAATTACCTTGTCAATAATTATTAAATCGTTTGAAAAACAATTATCAATTCTTCCAATCGGCGTAGTATCGAAAAATGATAATGGACTAAAGATAATGTTGTTTAACATTCGTTGGTGCACAAGTTTTCTAGCATTTAAAGCGCCATACTGACCTAAGGTGTTCGACAGGGCAGATAAAGCAATAGAAATTAAACACAGGAGACTGTAACCGGTCAAATACCAATAAGTCTAAAAAAAAAAATAGGATACTTTAAGAACGGTTATAATATTAAGCGAAAATTAAACATTAATTATTATTAAACTATATAATATAACATACTTGTGTGTCGTGAGAGAATTCCAAATTAGTCCAACAACTCAACCAAAAATCTATGAACACTCTGGATGTCTGCCATGCAACTGTAAGTACTATGTAACACGCATACGTTGGCCAGCCACTCCACGATATGTACTTGAAATACGTTTTTAATGACACAGAATTGTACGCGAATTCATCTTCGAAGCGAGCACGGTCACTTTTCAAGTCTTTAAAACCGTTGAATATTTAACAATATGTATGTACTCATTTGTTTATCACATTTATACCTGGCGAATCCTCGTCGCTAATATCAGATATTGCCAACGGTGTTTTCTTCAATAACATTTCTTCTGCTAAACTGAAATCACCATCAGCTCTGAAATGTATTAATTCGTTTTTTTTTTTTTTGGGGGAAGTGCGACTGTTGAGTTAGCTTTTGTTAAAACTTAAATTACCTTGTCTTTCGCTTTGTACTGTGTTGAGATTGTCTGTTGAATCGATTCGTAGAATGTGAGCTTCTATATTGTGAAAACAAAAAATTTTGATAACAATGGCCTATTACTATTACTATTAGTTATGGAATTTTAAACATTTTTTTACCCGAACGACGACAAAACGTAACGTCTCAAACTTCTTTGACCTTGCCTTTCAATTGGATAATTCCGATACTTGATACTTGAATGGAAACTGACGGCGGGTTGAGCTACCAGCGAATCGTCAATGAACGGTTTACGTCGTGGTAGTTGTATATCTGCGATCGTAGCCGATCTCTCCCTTTTTTTATTCGAAGACATCCAATGGTTCCTCTCGACACAAGAATCTCTGTCACCACATTCATCAGTAGGAAGCAGAAGATCATGAGTCAAATATCTGGAACCGTATAGAGCACCAAAACTTTTTTTGGACTTCAAATTCTAAAATTAATCATATTTGAATTGTTATTAACTAGTTTTGCAAAAACAATTGTTTTAAAATCCTACAGTACAAAAATAGTATACAAATAAGTGTTATACTTAAGGGTACTCTATATTAGAGTTTCCTAATTGTTTGAATTGGATACATTTTTAAGGTTTTTATAAGTTACCATTTGTTGGTTTTCATTTGTTGGCCAGTTTCGGTAAAGTTGATGTCCAATCTTACTGACTAGTTTAAATAACTTCCATCTTTCGGATGCCGTTCGTCGAACGTGTTCTTGATTTTCCATTGAAGTCATCATCTTTTGAACGCCTCTTTGTTCAAGATCAGCCAAGTTACCGTAGAACTCGATTTTACCAGACTCCACTAGCGCTACCTAAAAATATAAGCTCAATGCAAATATGTTGATCTATTGCTTTGAATCGCACTACTTACCGTATCTGCATAAGATAAATCACTCGCAAAACTCGTGGTCATAACAACAGTTTTGGCGTAATTCAAGGTTGATTTTTTTATTCCATTAAACATCACATGTTGACTAACTTCGCTGTCTAGTGCTGATAATGGATTATCCTAGCCAACAGTAATGGAATTGTAAATTAATATGCGCTTAGATATAGTTCTATGCCAAGTGACGAAAGTGAACAGAACAGGAATAGACGGCAGCTTTCATTCTGTAGCATAGGTGTGGCCCCAATTTTAAAGAAAAGACATATGCCTCTATTGGCCAATTTCAAAAGAGAAGAACAGGAAACAGCATAATTTAAAAAAGAGAAACTGTTAAGTACAGGAAGGCCAAAAATAATGGGTACAGATGTTTAAGTGGAGTCTTAAGACCAGGGTGACCAATCCAAAACGATTGGGAATATCCAGTGGTGAAAAATAATTGACTTTTAACTAAAGTATTTAGTATTTACCATTAAAATAATATTGGCTTTTGAGTATAAAGCTCTAGCTATAGCTACTCGCTGTTGCTGGCCACCGCTTAATGCTATTCCTCGTTCTCCAATTACGGTCCTTTCCTTGTCGGGTAGTATGTCTATGTCAGGACCAAGAGCACACGCGTCTATCACTCTTTTGAATCTGGATTTATTATATTTGTCTCCAAACACAATGTTTTCTAAAACCGATGCGTTCAGTAACCAAGTTTTCTGAGAAACAAATGCTATAGTCGTTCCCTTTTTGAAGTCCACTTCTCCAAATAAACAGTTCATTTCACCGAGCAAAGCAAGTAACAACGATGTTTTACCACTTCCAACTTTACCGGTTACAATTGTTAGCTTGCCTAATCAAATATTTTTGGTTGTTATTTAAAAATACAATTATCTAGTATTATAAAAAAAAAACAGGTATCAAGCCACTTCAAAATGTATACCTTCTTCGATGTTCAAATTGTCAATAACAAGAATTGGAACCTTTGAGTTAGGCCAAGAAAACGTGGCATCGTTTATTGAAATGCAAACATCATTTTCAATTTCTTTTTTAGCGTTCCTATTTTCTTCAGGAATCAATTCCGTTATATTGGATACGTTAACATCAGATTTACTCCATGATACAGTTGGCTAAAATTATTTTAGTTTTGACTAAATATTTTTCATTATTTTCAACAGAGTATGTTACCGTTGGTTTGCGCTTGTTATTTTTATTTAGTCGCAATTTTAAATGTTTAATATTCGGTGTGATTTCTGGGAGTGCCATGAACTCTTCAATACGTCTGGTACTCACCTATATTAGTATAGAAATTTAAAACAAAAATCATTAAATTTACAAATTGTAAGTACTAAGTATAAAAAACGTACTATTGCTGCAATAATGATCGGCACTGTAATGGGGAAAATAAAAAGAGGGACGGTCAACTGATTGGATAACGCAAGACTTGAAAACACAGCTCCAGAGTCTAGTTGTGCGCCGTTTTGTAAGCAGTATAAACCCAAACAAAAAAGTGATACGAGAACAGAAGAAGCATGTGTTAAAAAAGCTGAAATCAATTCGATAACGAATAGCTATAATAAATTAGAGTAGGTAATCAAGTTTAATGGCGGGCGTACTCATCGATCCCCAATACATGGAGTCTTTATCTAATAGATCGAGTTCGTTGTTTCGAGCATCTGTAATACGATCGATGAATTCATTCTCCCATCCACATAACTTAACTAATCTTATGCCTTGAAGTACTTCATTAGTCATTTGCAGACGTTTATCTGATAGCGACTTAAAATTATATCAAGTGAAAGAAAATAAAATTGATTTAAAAATGCATTTAAATATATAAATAGTTAACACTAAAAGCGGACTAAAATTTACCGATATTTCCTTTGAGTTGGTAGACATCCTTTTGCCAATGATAAATTGTAACGGTATCATTATTAAAATACAACAGGCCGACCCTAATATGGCGCTCCAACCAAGTTTTAAGTACAGTAAATAAATCAAAAAGAATATCTACATAAGACAATAAAATCAACGTAAAGGTGTTAAAGAATTTTATAATGTCTAAAAAACAATTGAGTTTTGTTTTATACTTTCAACGGTATTGCCCATATATAATGTCCGATCCAAAAACTGGACATAATGTTCATAGTATCTTCTGACATGAGATTGATGATATGACCATTTTCTGATGAAGCATCAACTTGAGTCTGTTGTAGCCTTAACATTTTATAATAGAGCATTGCCTAAAATAACGCTTGTTTATAATTATTATTATTGACATTTTACTCTATATAATTTTAATAACAAACTTGAAGTCCGGATTTCAGTCGAATGCCCTCAACGTTCAATATATGAGTACTGGCTTGCGAAAAGCTGCCCTGAGCAAGACAGCTTATAAGCATTATAAAAGCCATAACGTAACCGTTATTTAGAAAATCCCCAAAAGTAATACAACACGAATAATTAATCTGACGAAAGAATAAACTTATCATTTGTCAACTAAATATGTATGGTCTAATAATGATTTAGCAAAGTATAACTTACGTTTGTTGGGGTGGCTATTTCTGAATTGGTTGCATTATGTTTTTTCGCGACAAAGTTGACTATAACGGACACGCCTAAAGGTCCGACATAGCCCACAAAATCGCCTAACATTTTAAGTATTCCGCCCAATAAAAACTCTTTCCAGTAAACCGTGCAGTAACATTTCCACATAGATACTTTTGTAGAAGTGCCGTGTATTTCCTAAGTGTACATCCAATCATTATGCTTTTGAAGTACCTACGTTTATTTACATCCGTCACTAGTTAAGTACAGACCTTTTGTTTGAGATAAACGTTGTACAGTCTCTCGTACTGCGTGGTCGATTGTTCGCGACACGGTAATTGTCCCAAATCATCAAGTTGGATTGGATTTTTATAACAATTTCTCAAAAATCCCGTTAACCAATAAAACGTAACTCTAGAATACCAACTAACGTAGTCGTGTCGATACGTGTAAAATTCCAGATCTAAATCAGTTTTTCTTATTTTCGGCTGTATAGAAAAAACACATAATATTTTTAATTATTTTAGTCTACACTATTCAGAAAAATGTTTGATTGAGTTATCTGCTGGTCAGCGGTGTTGTCAGTTTTTGTGTAGGCAAAATGTTAATTAAAAATGCACTTAAGCTAGGTATGCTGTATAATTTGACGCCCACGGTTGACTGTCCACGTGTAAACTAATTAATTAGTGTCAGATCGAATATATTGTGATAGTCTGATGGGTTTCTAGCATACACCTCTAGCAGCTGTATAGCTAATAACATGACAACGATCATAGTTACATTCTGTGGTCATATTTCATCAGTGTTCTGAAACGTTAATTTACGAAACAAGGAATCCTCCGGGCACTCGCTGGACTATTATAATTAATAATAACCAATACTGTTAATACCGAATAACATACTTTTTAATTGTCGACCATATGCCTGACACGAGACTTCAGAATACAATAATATTTTTTCTTTTAACAATATCGATATTGTTTAGCCGACGCATAATTTATGATTTTGAATCGTTGGTGGTATTGTTTTTAGTGACGTTAAAGTTTTTACGATAATTTAGTGGGTTTATTAACAATTCACAAAACAGCGTACCTGTCTGACCATGGCGTAGAGATGGAGTCCTGCCGTGGCATAACAGCAGACGGCCGATAAGGCCAAGGCTGTCAGACGGATGTGCACGTCTAAATCGAGGCCGGCATTCATCAGGGATACGAACAGCAAAGCTCTGCTCAAGCCACAAACTAGCCACGCTAGTACTCCGCATCCCAACGGACCGGATTGTCCGGCCACTTCTAACATGTAACATACTAATCCGGAACTGACTTGCGCAACTACACCAACAGCAGCTACTGCCATTGACCCGCACGAACTAAGTGCATAATCAGCAAATAGAGTAAACTCCACGAGAGAAGCAAACGTGTTGACGGTGCATCGAGCCGAATGACTCCGGAACAAACATCTCGGAGACGAATTGCTGGCAAATATACGGTGTATTTTTTATATTATCTCTAGTTAACGAATCAATTCTATTGATAGAATTAACAGAAAAACGTTTACATAAAACGCAACACACCCTATTTTTAAGATGGCGTGTATAGGGTGAGTTACTCTGCTTTTGTTTTTTGTAGAGCTTATATTTAAAGCTAGAACAGTTGTTTTTTTTGTTTACATAATAAATATTATATTGTAAAGATATAAAATCTACTTGAACCCTAAACCATAAAAATTATACACTTCTTGCGTACACGTGTTACGACAACGATGTTGTCATCTTCAGTCTTGAGTCTGTTGTTAGCGCTGAAGATGACAACATCGTTGTCGTAACACGTGTACGCAAGAAGTGTATAATTTTTATGGTTTAGGGTTCAAGTAGATTTTATATCTTTACTATGTATTTAACCATAAGTTTGCTTAACAGTTTTTTCTAAATATTATATTCTCATGGTAATGAGAATCCTTCTCTAATCCTTTTTTTTATATTATCCATCTTTTTTCTTTAAAAAAAATGTTTGTTTTCTTCTGCAATTTTAATGAACCACTAAGATAGAAATATTGAAAATAGTTTCTGAAATATTTTGAAACCAAATAATTTTAACAGTTTTCTGTCCGAGAATTGTTTTTGATAATTTAAAAATTTTGAATTGAAAAATAACGGATTTTTATTGCATCTTTATTCCAACAGTAGATATATTTAAGTTATGGCTTTTCATTGATTTTAAATCAAGTTTAATTAGGAAGACTATAAACACAATATAATATCACCGTAAAATAGGTTGAATTTGTTGTTTTCATTTTTCTCTTCTGTAAAATTGTATGAAAATATTTCTAATTTCTGTCTCTAGGATTTTGGTTCTAACCTCTTCGATTAGTATAAAAACCTCTAATCAGAGTCTGACTGGCCCCATACGCATATGGGCCAATTTTAATAATGTTAATGTTTTATAAAATATTATGTAATTTAATATTTAACATTGAAACGTAAACAAAAATTAACAGTGTTTCAATAAATGTATTATAAATACATTATTTAGTTTAATCTATAAAAAAATAAAATGGCTGTACTTGAATTTTTGCATCTCAGTTACATTTGTTTGCTGCTTTGACATAAAACTAAAAAAAGTATTATGTAATTTTAATTTGCTTACAAATAATCGTATTTATTAAATATCTTTAAACTCCGACTTTGATTAATTAATAAAATAAAAAAGTGAAAAGGTACTTCAGATCAAGATGAATTATATAATTTAGTTAAGTTTCAACAATAGTACACTATTATTTTAGAGACAAATAGAGTTCTAAAAATATTTTTTAACAAACTTCTATTAATTAAAACGAAAAAAAAAACAAGTTTGCCAGAGTTCTCCTAGAGAAGGATGAAATTTTTATACATTTTTTGGAGATGATTTTAGGATTTAAGGTTTGCAAATTCAATTGAAAAAATACTTAATAAACGCGTAAAAAATATATCAAAAGAATTTAATTATGTAGTCACAATTTTATTAACCGATATTTTTATAAATTAATATAAAAGTCACTAAAAAGTGAAAACGCAAATTGTGTGCAAGTATTTTTTTATCGATATTTTGTTTTTTTCAAATCAACATGCCTGAGACGTTACGTCTCCAATCTCCTTTACACAAAACTCATATTTAAAAATACATATTTTACAAATGTTATTTCAAAAATATTATTTATATTCCGATAATATTAGGTAACGTTATCAATATATTAATATTAAACATTTTTGAGTCAGTTCGACCCTGTCGGTTGATCGAGCTAATACACGTGCGTGTGAATTAAATAAACATTATGTATACGTATATAAATATATTTAAATATATATATATATATATATATATATATATATAAATTACCTTGTGGAAATACACCTGACGTATATGAAAATCAACATGTTTGCATAAATAGCGAATCCGAACGAGACGACGTTGAAGAGTTCCATATCGCACGGGTCGTATACCAACCATGGTTTTGGCTCGGTACCGTTCCATTCGGTTTTGTAAGCCGTGCACAATAGCCTGCTCATGTTGAACCATATAGTGCTTCGTCGGGGTTGCGACTGTTTCGGCCAAATCGTCGAGGTTGATTGATGCTATTAAACTGCGGGTCCCTCTGTTTTACGGTACACTAATTCATTAAGCAGCGTACACCTATGTGTAAAAATTGGGGGGACTTTCGTGCGTTCGCCTACTCGCCGTCCTACACCGAATGATCATCTAATTGAAACGGATGTGCGTTGAATTCGTACATGCTCGCCGTCGTGTACCTGTTTGATGTGATGTATAGAATTTATTGGTCTTGATTTGATTATTTAGGAAATAATAGCGCGATACAATAGAAAAAAAAAAATCTTTTTTGTTCAATTTCCTTGTTTACGACTGTCGTATGAATGTGCTTTTTTTTATATAAATCTATATGACGTGTGTGTGTGTGTGTGTTGACATGCTTTTTAAAGGAGTTTTACAGCTATACATGTAAAAATACAAACATTTACATAATTATATCTAAATAAATACATTTTATAAATATATATATATAGTTATATAAATAGTTCTTTTTGAATACTTAATTAGACACGAATTTTTTATGATGGCAAATAACCAAACATTATTGGAAAAGTGTTAAAATAACAGTAACTAATAAGTCACTTGAGTATAAAATTTCGGACATAAATTTAAAAAATAAATAACTATGTGAGACGTTATGGAGTCAGGGGTGTAAGGTTTTTATACATTTTTATACTTACAGTGACCTATTTATAATAATGTTTGACATTTTTGTATGTATTGAAGCAATTTTATATTCTGTAAGACAATTAATTAAACATTAAAGATTTAAATTTAAAAATATTGACATTTTCTGTTGTTATTATCATTATACAAATTTTAATAAACTATAAATTATAATCAGGGCCGTATTCAGACCGGTTTTCTCAGGTCATATATCCAGGGCTGGGCATACAAAAAAAATTTAATTAAAGGGCTGAGTACGGCCCTGATTATAATGAAAAAAATATACATCCTTTCTTAGCATTTTGAAATGAAATATAAATATTATATTAGGTATATGTAAAATATGAATTAAAACAAATAAAGTACTAAAAAAATTTAAACAATTAAAAATGGATCGAATCAATAGTTTCTTAAACAAATTTCTTAAAGTGCTCCCTTATTTCACGGTATAGGCAAATTAACATACACAGTGTATGACGACTATAAAACGGCGAATGTTTTGTATTTTTTTTTAATCTAAAGAATACTATTATTGATAAAATGTATTTCCTATATTTTAGTTGTTCGGGGTGTTTTTTATTTTAATTTATAATTAGATTCCTAATTTTTTATTTTTTTTTATTTACAATCTATACAAAATATGTATAATCAGCAAGTCTGATGACAACGATACAATGACATAATGTGTGAATAGGAAGGCTCTCAGTAGTGCCATCTGACCAGAAAAATTAATGTTTATGCGTTAAGCAGGTCCCTGACCCATTACCTTTTTAGCCTTCTAGGAATAAGTGAGACAGGGGATAATTTTTTAATTAGAGGAATGGAATGGGAGTGTAGTTTAGAGTAAAATTTGGAATAGTGGGATTTGGCCAGTTCGTTAAGGGTTGGTAGTTTTAAGTCTGTATGGAGGTTATTGTTTGTTACATACCAAGGGGCAGAGGTAATCATTCGTAGGCAGATTGACTGGAACGCTTGGAGGGTTTTGGTGTTGGACGGCTTAGCAGTCCCCTATAGTTGGATACCGTAGAGTTAGGCTGGACGAATTATTCCTAATTTTAAACATTTTATTATTTTAAATAAAAAAAGTTCAAATTGTATTTTTAAAATCATCATGTATTATTTATTATAAGTCGCTCTAGAACTTGGATAAGGACTAAAATATTATATAGAAGCCTTATAGTTCTTATTATTTAGCGAACCGTTTTGTTCACAATTCGATTACGCCTCAGAGTTTCTTTTTATATATGTAGGCTAGATTAATATTTTTTTTCCAATTCACTCATTTAAATAAAACTGGTCCGACCAGTTATCCTCGATAATATTATATTCTCCCCCTTTTTTTTATACCTTATCTTTTTTTTTTTTATAATACTTGTGTGCCATAAACATGAACCTGACAGTGGTGGTGATGGATGAAAATAATTATTGGTTTTGGTTTTACGCCGGGCCGGGTCGGATATAATATAATGTAACAAACGAGAGGGAATGTCTGGACGGGCTGTACGTTTAGTGGGGTGAGGGAACGTTGTTGTTGAAGGTGTTTTTTTTTGTCTGAAGGGTCTGTATAAAAGTAGATTTTTTTTTTAATTTACTCCCATTTAAAAGCGTGTGTATACAAAATTGGATTATAACATTTACAGAAACAGTGCGCCGACGGCCGATCATTATTATAATAATAATATAAAATCATAATAACATTTTAACATCATACGTATCAACTAATACGCTACACAGTACACCGTTTGTAATATGTTTTAACATAAAATATTAACACAAACAACAGCTATGGCGCATGGCGGTGATAAAACAATTTTTCTTATTATTGATTTCTTTACCTAACGCGTTTTAATATTTTTTCTGTACCAGTTTGTACAATCTATTAACCGAACAAAAGGGGTTTATGTTATGACTTATGTATAATTGAACTTGAAATCGATTGGTCCACCGTTGCTACAGTCATAATAATATAACGTGCAGCCATACTATAACATGTATAATAATATGACGCATTATTTTTAATTCCTTCGGTAATGTCGGCGTTAAAAAAACCTGCAGTTGGGAAAAAAATAAACATATAGTTTATGTATTACGCAAGAGTAGATAAACGTTACTAACGTTTGGATATTATGGTTACATTGAAAATCACTAGGGATGGTCGACTGCATTATGTGTTCCAGTCGTTTTTCGAGACCAAAGCGTTGTTCTGCAGTTATTATTGTAAGGGTTTAAGTGTAATTAATTATATTTTAAGTCACATAACAGTTATATGTAATGATACAACTTCCAACAGCGGGTTATAAGAGTAATAATGTACATTTTAGTCACCAAAAGGCACGACAATTTATGGGTACCCATAATACTATAAAACCTAACTCGCTATCTCTTTAACATACAAATTATCACAGTAGCGTTCAATTATTATGTTAACGACGTTTTTTATTCACATTTTTTTTAACATTAAATATTTGAATTACAATGACCGTTATTTGATACAGTAAGTGATTGGTCACAATCTTTGTTAAAATAATAAAATGGATACAATATTTTTTAGATATCTTTTAAACGATTATGAATGCTTTCTAGTATATAGTTTGCAAGAATAACAAATACAAGTTAATCATAAATTGATCGAGAACGATAATTTAAATTGTAAGTGCAGTAAAATAATGTTACTATGTTTACAGTGGTGCAACTCAGTATAGTTTACAATTTACAATTAGAATTTTTCAGGAGGAGTTAACTTTTGGGACATCCAAAAAAGTAGCTTTTACTTGATGTAATAGCTGTTATTCCTTCATCTAAAGTTGAATACACAACTGTACATTGATATTTAAAATATAATTAAGCATTTTTACAGTAATATAAAGTAGAAATTAAATTTCTATCTTCTATATTCTCGCCTCAAAATAATTGTAATAATTAAAAACAAATGTGATGCATTGGTGTTAAGTGTTGAATAATATTCTGTTGATCTCAAACACTGCTCTGGCATAAATCCAAATAGTAAATACAAACTACAAACGTCTGTCACGTGTTTTCAATTAAAATATATAAAACTTTTCTTTAAATCATCATCACTCAGCTGTTAATTATTTTTCAGTCTGTTGCAACACAATCCATCTGTTTTCTTAAACAGTAGCCACCTTTTGGCGATCTTACTCGGGTTGTTTAATTATAAATGAAATTCATGGGTTCAGTAGCTTAGGTTTAATCAGCAGTATTCCGTCCAGAAATATCCAAGAGGAATATTTAATTACGTTAGAAGTTGACACATATAGGCTTAAAGGCCTATGAACTTGGCTGTATAATGGCAGCATCAGACATTTTTCATCCGTGATGCAAAGCTGGGTAAACATTTTTTTTCAATGGGGCATATTGTGTATTTTTTTAACTATTTACAGGATAAAACTCTTAACACTTGGCGAGACACCAAATATGATTCAAGTGGGGAATGAACCCTGTGACGTACTAAACATTTTGTATGAATGAAGGACGTAGTAATATTTTAAGAGGTAAACCTAATAATAATAATATTTTAATATAATACAAATAAAACTGTTATTTTATTAAACATAAATATCTTTAAAAATTTAATACAAAAAAAAAACACAAGCTTTTTTCAGAGTTGATATCAGCATTATTCAGTATTATTTATCAATTTCAGGTGGCTCTCACATTTCCCATTAGTTCTGCCTCGTTTTCGAAAAATAAAAATTTGCCTTAGGGTTTCAGCAAGTCTATATAGATATTCCAATATTATACATAGAAAAATAAATGACAAATTTAATGAATATAAGCGAAGCTTGAATAAAATACATGTAAATATTTTAATATTGTATACATTTGTAATACAAAGTTTAAATGCTAATAACAACACGAGTGTTAAAAATGTTAAATTGTTATAGGTTAAATTGTTATGGTTATCTTTGCCAAAAAAAAAAAATTTCTTAACCTTATTAAATAAAATTCAAATTTAAATACCCGGAAAACGCAGAGCTTAAGCATCCTCTCAGTGTTTTTTTATTGAAATATAATTGCGCATATGGACTAGTTACCCTTAAACCGACACAGAACACTGGCTAGAGCGGGGTCGACAGATAGCGCTGAAGTTTGTATGTATTTTTGTGTGTATACACAGCAGCAGCTATTGCGACGTGCCGGCCGCCGTCCCCCACCGGTAATTCGACGGCGAAGAGCGGGCACACGTTCCCGGTATACATGTATATAGCTATCGACCAACCTTCAGGCGGTGGCGGCGGCGGCGGCGGCAACGGGCAAACACATTTTCAAATTCATCGCATTCGGAGTCCGTGCGTTTAGTCGGCCGGTACTTGTTGTTAAGTGTGTGTGTGTGTATGTTTTTTAGTGTGCGTGTTGTTTAAGGTATAATTTCGTATACTTTATATTCGATATTCTGTTTTATCGACGTAGGTAATATTGCAATATTGTCGTCTGCATCGACGACCCGTCGTCAGTTTATGTGCGCGTTATCCACGGTTTTCGTTATCAAGACTTGAGCTTCTCGCGAAGACGGTCCTCTCTCTCGGTTTTTCTTCAAAAAATAAAAAAATCGGGCACACAGATTCCAATGGCATCTTTACCGCCGCCGATGTCGGATACGTCTTCTGCCTTACCCGTTGTTTCGGTGGTCGAGTTCGAGTCGCTGATAGGCGCTTGAGGGATATCGATGACCGCTGGGCCCATGACGCGCAACGGCGAGTGTAAAAAGTTTTCGCCCAACATATTCAACAAGTCCAAATGCACCAATTGCTTCAGGCAAAAGGAGGAGCACAGCGCCGAAGCTTTGGAAAGCAACAGGGTGAGTACCGACCTCGGACGATTTAACTACATAAACATTTTGTATCACCCTCGGATCAAACAGACTCAATATTACCTCGTAAACAATTTTTATTAGTCTTGATTTTTAAGTATTTTATCGAGTAATGGCTTAGGCTAAAAGTTTTCGTCAACAATGTCGATGTTCGGATTTACTGTTTTCAAAATAAACTACTCCACTATTTTTATAGTGATTTTTTTTTTCTAAAGCGTACAACAATCGAAAGTACTTTTATTACTTTAAAATTAGACATCAGTTTCTTTCTTACAACTACTCTCAATCATTTGGGGTCGGTTACCCTAATTGAATATCTTCACCAAAAACTGTCCCCACAACCTTCACAATCCATTAAGTCATCCTTGTATCGTTCCTTACCGTTAACTATCACTTTTTGAATATTATTTTGCCAAAATAAACTCACTTTTCTTTCTCATTTATTTTGCTTCAATGTCCTCCCTTCACACAACAGGCCTACGTCGCTGGGACTACATCTATGCTTAACGTTATGCTAAATTAATCATTTTAAAAACTACGAGTAACAAATTTCGGTTAAACTTTGATATTGGTTCTGTTTTGTCTAAGATACGGACTATAGATAGGTATTATATTAAAATGAAGAATTATTATTTGCAATTTGCATACTGTTGGGTAAAGCATTCTTTACCCAACAGTATGCAAAACCTTAAGATAAAATTATTATCATATATTCTTTTAAATAAGGCGTTAAAGGTCTTTTTATTGACTAGCCTCAAAATAAAATATCGCCAATAAGCTCTGTGGAATGTTAATAAGTCATTTAAATTCAAAATATTTAAAAAATACATCGAAATTTGTCTCGGGTTTATTGCTATCCGGTTTTTAAATTTAATCGTACCGTTTTTACTAGGATTCGGTTTGAGTTTTATCACTTATCGTTTAATATGTATAATTTCAATTAAAGTTTTATCGTCTAATAAAACCACAAATGCTTAAGCGATCAGCTTAAACAGCTTTGCCAAGTCTAAACTTGTGGCTATGAAAATGAAGTACCAAACGGGTTCTTAAAAAAAAAAGTAATTTGACACTATCATATTTTATAATATCTGGTTATTATAATTTTTTTTTTTTTTATCGGTTAAATGTAAATTATTATTGTCAGACGTTATTGGGTACCTACTCGCGAATTGTATTAAATAAATACCTACAACAATCAACACATTAGGCCACCGGCTAGACAAGCTCGCATATTTCATTGTGAAAAACATGGCAATTTTTTTTCATTATATTGCGCTTGACTAATATCTTCTCAATTCATACGATTATAAACACTGACATCGAGATAAGAAGAGTCCTGTATTCGTGTTTCTGCGGAATACGTACAAACCGGTTTTCTTCTATAACGTTGTACACCATGTGTGTGTGTGCTTTAAAACTGTTTTTTTAGAACGAGGTAACCTCGGTAGTATTATGTAGTATGTTCCAGAGGTACCAGCTCTTGGCCTGGCGCATTGCTGTCGGGTTAATGAAATGATTTTACACACCGGACGATCACTCATCAGCTGTGCGCCTGCTGACTCTACACATAATAGTAACACAAAAACTACATATTGTAATAATATAATATTGTAACATATCGATTTTAATGATAACGGTTCTGCGTGAGAACCGATCGTCGGCAAAAAAAATGCCTAACTCCGTTAAGTATTCATAATATGCGAAATGGCGTAACCCGAAACGTCTGGCTGACAGTCATGGCGATCTAGAAAACGAAAATACATCAACTCGGTACTAGAAATAATAAAATCTCAGTCGATTTCACCGGTTGAAATTCAATATAACGGCTTTACGATTATGATTTCATTAATTATTATCGAAACAAAAGAGAAAGTGTCATTGTTTTCCACATTCGTAGCATAACTACGTTGTCATTTTTTTTCTCGGTTTCCTTCGCCCATTAAACAATAATTAATCGCGTCGGATTACGGTTGTAGAAAGTCCGCAGCGCTGTGTATACGTTCAACGACAGTAGGTATAGCGAGGAATGGATAGAAAAAAAAGCAAGTTGTTGTTTGGCGTTCTTCTGTTTAATTGCTCATCTCGGTGAAGTGTTTGTAAAGAGACGTTGTTGGTAATAATTGCACCCACATCTTATCGTATCATAAATCTAATTTAGTGTTTTATTTTTAAAAATTAAAAAAAAATTATTTAGAATGATAAAAAGAAAGCATCGGTACAATTGTATTTCATTCTAATATACTCTCTGGTAAAATCTTATGAAAACAACTTTACTATATTTTTTTTACCACTTGATTCCTTTATTAGTGTTTTAGAATCAATATCCAATATTTTGTCTGAAAAATTACCTTTTCGTTTCTCACTGAAAGTGTTCGGTAATGGTCAGGGCAAAGTGGGAACAGACCATATTGGTACGGGATAGGTCACATGTCTATATCGTTTAAAAACATTGGAACGACAAAAATGTGTTAAAAATCGTATTTTTAGTATAACAACATAATGACATTTTTATAAATGCCTGTTGTTGACTGTTTATTTACTCTAACATAGCAACCTTAAAATGTACTATATTTTATAGTGTTATTTCCTCCATTTGTTTGGGGGTTTTCTTTAAAAAAAATAGTTGACCTTAGATTTTTGAGAAAATGGCACATGTTTATCCCCACTCTAGATCTACAGTCTTCAGTTTAATTTTCAGACTATAAACTCTAAAACTATACATAAAACGAAATACAGAAATTTTTTTTAGCCTTTCTGGGGGAAAGAGTTTTTAAAATTTTATTTGGTTTGTCAACGTGTATTGATAAAACTATGTCTACTGAATATTCTATACTAATTTAAAATTAATTCGATTATTTAAAAAAAAAGCCACAGCGCAGTAATTTTATGTTAACACATGTGTACACATTTTTTGGTGTTTTTCTCGATTTCGAATATGAAACGTCGAACTTATATACATTTTTGACTAGCTAAAGTACATTGTAGGTATAATTTCAGATCTGTAGAGATTTTATGGGTCTACACACAATATTACTACTATACTATGGGTGTAGTAACATAGGATCATATAACTGTTTGGTGATTATTTTTTTTTTAATGTTAATCAGGTATTATGGTACATTGCATCCGTAGAATGTACAAGGAGATCATGTAAAGGAAATAAACCAACAAATTTACGTAATAGTATTTTACGTTTGAAAATTCTGTTATAATTCCTATAATATTTTATTTATAAGAAATAAACAAAAATATGAAGTATGCGTCAGTTCTATTTGTCTGTAATTTGTTAATCAGTTTTATTATATTTGTAACTTATTCAATATTCCTGAGTGATAACGTCGCGGCGTTTGTCATCTGGAGCGTCATCTTGGGAGCGGCGTTAAATCAAATCTTCAGTATTGTACACGCTGTACTCGTATGTATATAATGTGTATGCATCTTATATCGTGTGTAATGTGCCTATTAGGTATTGTTGATTTATAGGTTTTACAACATATAGCCGCGCAGGTGCATTTACTATAACCGCACGTTTGCGAAATGACGCTAAGAGCGACGGTTGTACCCAAAACGAATACTTACTAATTAGGATTCTCTAAAGTAATTAGAAGCTATTCAGGCCGAACGGGCGAGGCTGTACACGCGTTTTTTTACACTCTTCGGACGCGTCTGGCAGCGACGTTGGGCAACTCCAATCGCGTTTTTAGACTTGCTGGTTGTGTGTAGTTCATTTTTTTTTCAATTCGGTTTCTGTAAGCGAAAATCGAATCGCACGGATTTACGTAATTCAAATCAAACTGTATATACCTACAACGCCAGTGAAAAGTAATAATAATAATAAAAAAAAAAAATCATGAAATCATTGTTGAAACAATAATAACTGTAATTACACTCGGATAGTATAGTGTCCACGGTCCACAATACACATGGCGGATAGAAGTGGTTTCGGTTTTATGCAACTCAGATTGAACGGGAAACAAATAAATAAATTATTCGAATGCCGTTTTACTTTCCACTTCAGGCAGCAGTGATGCATAAAAGTCTGCAATGCAATCATTTGTCTGTACTTCACGCCTGAAAAAAAAAACATAGTTTATTAACGACATACCTAAATCATATAATATCTAATAAGATATACCAAAATGTGTAATATTTAACCCACAGTATTTATACTGTACGGACATAATTTAAAATATGTACTTATAATATGTTACAAAGCACGTACTTTGAGAAATGGCTTGTTTCGCGTTACAATAAAAGTGAATTCGTTAAAAAAAACTGAACGGGGGAGTTGAAATTCTGGAAAAAAAAAGATATATATTTATTACTGTAGTGTAATATATCTCGACAGTCGACACTTTCAAAAATAATTATGGGGATTTTAATTATAAAAACATAGAAAAAAATTAGTTATCAACCGGACTTATCAACATAACCAAGGATGTCCTACATTCAAAATTCCACTTGCATGTACAGCTGTTAAGATTAATAAATAGGTACATATAATTAGCAAGCCAGTGTGTGCTGTATATTTAATAACGGCGGTAAATATATTTTTATTTTATTTTGTATTTTACGGTATTTGTTCCTTTACACTATTCCGGAGAACATGTCTTACATTTACACACCTTACAAACGTTTTCCTGGAAATTGTTGCATTATTGTAAACCGTATATTTTTACAAACAACAAAACGTCGATCGACAAAACATTGCTTTTGACTTGTATCATGAATCGTTGTTTAAACTTTCATAGAAGTGCCGACTATAAATCGAGTAATTTACTGGAAATCGTAAACGTTTATAAACGTCGTTGTTTAATGTCTAAGTTGTAAATACAATTCTATCAATTTGTTTAAACATAACTCCGTGCTTGATTACTAATCAGTGCGGTGAGTAAGGTTTCGTTTGGTTTGCTTCACTTAATTATGTGGTGGAAAAGCAAATAATGGTTTTGTATTTATTTGGTTTAATGTTAAATAATTTTCTGATT